ATTAGTGTGATAATCACACATAATCGCATCACAATCGCACATAATATACATCATTTGTGTACGTGTCGAGCACCTTGGATTATTGTCTCTCACTGCCTGTAGTTCCCATATCACACTGATACAATATGTTGTATTATTGGGGATATGCCAGGAAGGAAATAGTGTTTACGTGGTACCCTTACATGCCGAGCTCTGAGAAGCCACATTTAATTTCATTTTAAATGATATATGTTGGTTGTACATTTCGTCTCTTTTCTCGTTACGTTTCTTCCTCCGATGTGCCGTATCTATTCAGTAATGCAGTGCAGATATATCCATTGTACAATGTCGTCGTTTGTTTAATATAAAGCATGCATTATGAAGGAGCACATGCACGATGCCGTACAAAACATTCAATTCAACAAGCATAACTATTACACACGCCCCCTACTATTATGCTTATTTGTGCTTATTTCAGTCTCTTTATTTCATATATCTCTATTCCGTATAGATGTTATATTAGTGTGTGTATGAGAGTGTAAACTTGTATAATGAGACCGCTCTCCGTTCAGCCTGGAATTACAGCTCTACTTGTATCTTATACCGGAAATAAGATGGCACGGTTACATAATTTTAGCGCATAGTGAAGGAGTGATGTAACCTGTGTGTTCGCTTCAGGGATGCAGGATGTTACACATATCTCGCATTTCCCATTTAGTAGCGCTACTCTTTTAGTTAGTTTCTTGTTTGAGTTAGTAGTTGCCATTTGGCATGCAGCCAATCCTTATGACGCTGGAGCTCGGTATATTTATTGAGCAGACTGGCTATTACCGCTTTGAATATTATGTACATATCATTTTTCGTCTGGCTGCAGTCACATCAAAGTGGAGCCCCGCCCATGAGTGGTCTCTGCTAACCACGTAACATTTGCAACACAGAACGATTTATTACTTATTAGCTTTGTTTATACGCATCAATTTCGTTTTCTTAGTGACGTCTTGCGGTCATACTCATTCTTGCTGTATTGTGGCTCTTTGTGGGCCTTTTTTTTGTGTTGTGCTCCAGTATAAGTTGATATTTTGGTGTCCGGACTCTACGGTGTAAGACTCTACGGCGTGAGACTCTACGACGGGTTACGGTTACGGTTACGGTTACGGTTAGGGTTAGGGTCTCACGCCGTAAAGTCTTACGCCTTTGAGTCCTGGACCCGATATTTTGCATTGGCATCGACAAATAATGTTACGTCACATGAACTTTTTTGAGCCTATCTCTCTCTCCGCTACCATGTAGTTACCGGACTAACGATCCTTCTAATCGATTATCTTGTAAAACTGTATCACATTAATCATCCTCCTCCAGTGGTACAGGTTGTTGTTTTATCTGATAATCACATCATCACACAGCGACCCCTCGTCCTATTTGGGGCCCACACTGTAATACCACCCCCTGAATAAGGCCTGAATAAACGTGACCTCCAAACCTCCTATCCTGATTAGATTACGGTCGCCTCTTTCAGGCTATCAAATATCCCCATAAGCCCGGAGTTGGGTTATGCTTTTTTGGAGCTCTTAATTGCATTTTACATTTCGGTTATGCCAGAATATATTGTTGTGACCTGTGGCCTGTGGGTCTCTGTCTTATCTTCTGCGCAACACGTACATTTTCTTATATTCTAATTACTCTTGGACCGTTTTCTAATTCCAAGAGCACGTGTTTCGTACTTTCCTATAAAACACGTACTATTTCTTAGAAACATGATTAGATCTAAAGACTAGACATACAGTTTCATAACTGTAATTATCTCAATACATACTCTGTAATATCTCATTAACATTGTACCTGATTCTGATGTTACCGTTATGTCGTGTGTATAAAATAACAATATAACCCCTACTCGCATATCTTCCCTTTGTCTTATGCTGTAGACCGAGACGAGAGCGAGGGGGGGGGGGGCATGGGCACCGCTGCTTTCATTTTATAAATATGTTCACTTAATGCTCAACATCTTTACATTATCTGAGAATAGTCTAATTGAATACTGCTACATTTAGAGCGTTCAGAAACATTAAATAGTTGCTTTTTTTTGCAGACTCAGCGGTTGCGTTGTTTTCACTTATTTTACTGTTATTAATAAGTATAACTTGTAAATTTACTCGAACGACCATTCACAGGGCTTGCTGATTGCACTGTCTTGCTGATTCCATTCTCTCTAATAAAAATAGTCAGCACACACAATAGGTATATGACCGAGTTATTGTGCGTGTGTAACTTACACACAATAATATGTCGCTCTCTAACAAAGACTCTGCTCAATTCAACCCTACACTCCCAACACGTGACATATTGAAATTTGAATAGCATTAGCCGCTCTCTCTCTCTCTCTCTCTCTCTCTCTCTCTCTCTCTCTCTCTCTCTCTCTCTCTCTCTCTCTCTCTCTCTCTCTCTCTCTCTCTCTCTCTCTCTCTCTCTCTCTCTCTCTCTCGCTCTCTCTCTCTCTCTCTCTTGCGAGATAATATCTTCCCTGTGTTTAATGTGAATGTAATTACATCTCCTGGTATCTCCCCTTACATACGTACCAGTTTAATTGTGTTTGTGGCTCGTACGTTTGTGACCCGTGCATTTTGGGTTAGAGCTGAGAATTTTGTATTATGACGTCATGGGAGGAGGTGCTTAAACTTGGCGGATATGACGACATTTTTACAACTATGTAACTTGCTGACGTACAATTTTAACTGCCCCTAAACATTACCCGTTGAAAAGTAATCTTCCGACATTAATTTGCTCTCAGCTCAGTTTGTTCTTGCCAATTCTTCTTCTCGTCGTTTTACTATTTGAAATCGAAATTATTTACCTCAATTTGCCCGAAATCAATATGTTCAAACTCTACATATATTTTATACCGTGCTTATCGCCGATATGAACGGTATAAAATATATTTATCGGTATATATCCCGAATAATCATTTCCTGCTTGTATTACATAATATGAATATTCTTATTAAACACTAATAGTAGCGTACTGTATACCATTATATGCGCATTCCTTGACATGGTCCAATAGTTTTGACGATACTTGGCTAGCAGTTTACCATTAATTTTTACACCCCTATGAGTCTCCAACTCTGAGATAAGTTCGGGTACCAGGTACCCGAACTCATACATCGTGATTCCAGATACCAAACTTTTAATCGCTCCACAGAGGGGAGATTAGATTTTGGAGGGGAGATAGAGAGGGGAGATAGAGAGAGGAGATAGAGATTTTGTTGTTACTAGGGACCCTATGGATCAAGTTCATGTAGAAAACCTGATGCCATAAATTGTTGCTAACATTCTCGCACTATTTGAGGATACTTGGCTAGCAGTTAAACTGTGTACGTGGATATTCGTGGTAGCACGTGACTCTGGACACGTGGCTGGGATCCCGCATTTTATACTCATATGTAACATTCCAGGAATGCTACGTTCCGGGAATGTTTCTGTTTAATGTTACAGTTTGTTGTCTGTTTCAGTGTTGCGTAATGTTCACTTGTATAACAGCGCCTATAGCAAAAACGCTGCTGCTCTTTTCTTTCACCACGTTGTTATTTGAAGTAAACGTAATTGTTTGGCAAAGAGAATACGTTGGGGCTTGATTTTTAATATTATAGTAATGTTTATTTCTGTCCGCTAGATTGTGCAGGGTGCAACATATGACATTATCATTGATTAAGCCTTATACAGAGGATTCTCTGAGTTGTTGATTTTCTACAATAATGCTATGTCACCTATCTGATGCTATGTAACCTACCTGATGCTATGTTATGTGGTTCCTGTGGTTACGTTGTTCCTGTGGACCAATCAGCTAACAGACAGTCTCAGGATCCAGACGTCAGCTTTATAACATAGTCGTTTAGTTAACTAGTATCTCTCTTATTATGTTCCTGCTCTCAGCAGTTTGATATCAAGGTGTTTTATTGTTGATACGATACGTATCCGCTAATCTCCGGTAGAGGGTCCGCAGTAGTCCCATTACCTTAGTATTGCTGTTATACAGCCACTACAGAATCTGATTCTGAGAATCATACCTTTTATTAGAAGGTTTCATTGCCCAATACCACGGACATTGGTCACATAGGTGGCCAATGCTTTGTAAGATATGAAATTGCTCGCATTTTCGAAGAAATTGTGCTCACAGGCGCTACTGTGATTTACATAGACTTTGTGTCGCATGTCCTCCTCGAATCGTGCTGGTTTATGTGCCAAATAGAGAAGACGCACCTTTTAATTTGCACACGTTGTGGTACACAAGCCATATAATGCATTTTATCTGTATAGATGTAATGAGCTGAGCGGTTTGCAGCTTTATATGAGGCGTAATTGGGTTGATTAGTGTGTAATTATGGTAGATATGAGATATCTTTCTCATTACACGCATTAATTACCTCGCTATCCTATGTCCTTTATACCAGTTAGCACACGTACACGTATGGCTTCTACTACAATTTTCGCCCTTAAGTTTTTTGCGAACGACTTGTTCGAAAATTGACAACGCTTTGTGCCGTACAACTAAACATAAGTTAGGGCTTGGAAGCCCGTGAAATGTTCTATCACTAGTTTACCACGTGGTTTGTCACATGTGTTGTCATGGTCACGTGGTTACCACGTGCCTAATCAATGGGTGGATACTAGGCGGCTCTCTAGTATCTAGATAATATATTTGTCATGGCATACGATATTTAAAATACAGTAGTTGTGTTTTTCCTTGATTTTGCTTTGATAATGTTGTTATCGTTTGTACACCGTTAGAACCAGGATTTACTAACCTATTTTTTCAGCATTAAAATTTTAAAGTTGTTACTCATAAAATAACGCTTGAAGTTGAAAAGAAAGGATGCATTAAATCCGACCACACAATTTATCAACTTATTCTTTTTAAACTCATTTAAATAACCTACTCGGAGTTTTAAAACTCGATAAAATTTGCGATGCCAATAGTGCGATGTGCATCTTTTCTGATTGCTGATCTTTTGAATCTCCTGTTAGGCGCATTTTACGAATCTGATGACATTGACCCGAAGATGCGAATTTGCACAGAGGATATCTTACTCATTCAAGACAACAGTAAGCTTTCTCATTAAGTGAACTCTTATTTATGGGGGGCCACGCAAAATTCAACTTCAGATTTGCCTTCTGCTGGATTGAACGCTTTGATTCCAGCTCATTAAAAACTGTGGCTTTTTTTGAAGTTCAAATCAAAAGTTTAATTTTGCTGGTCTTCCCATAAAACCCATTTAATATTCTTTAATCCTTTCTTTCGAGGCACTTCCCTTTACTATCATGTAACGGCAGGTTCCCTTAAATTACCCTTCTTTGTCAAATGATTGCGTCAGAGACAACGGAAATATGCAGTCTTGCCAAGTTATCAACGAGACGCTAGATACACTTTCCGCATGAATACATATTAAGATATAGACCAGGATGTTGAGTCAAGGAAGTGCCTTGTTGGGAATATCTTTGTGTGTACGTTATCAGCTGTTTAAGTTATGACATCTTCAACTCTTTCAACTCTTTCAAAATCTTAAAATTCCTAAAATGAGATGACACCTATTTCTTCTCCCTGTAAACTTGAAGCATGAAACGAAAACACACTAAACACACTTGGGGCACAAAGTTACTTGGGGCACACTTAATGTCACTAAGTTATTGACATGTTACTGTTTGTCCTCACTTTATGTGCCAAGAACTAACTTTGGAACTTGTACTACACTGCCCTCAATATCATCATGGAATGGGATGGAATCGTGAAATAATACTGGTCACTGCTACCGTTAAAATATGATCATTTAACGTTAGTTTCATTAAGTTAGGGGCAATATTTGGAAGCTCTCACTTTCCTATCATATGGGTGGTACGAGGGCCAGTACCTATGAAGTGAATATCTTTTAGAATATTGTCGGTTTGAAGCATTTTGGATGATGGCCAGATTTTATGTCGTATATGAAAGGTGATTGACCGGTGAGAAAAGCAGGACAATTTAGCCTTTTAAGGGATAAATATCCCTTTCCGGTGGTACGGCGACAATCTCAAAAGCATGAAAATGATATTTTATTTTCTGAAAGGGAAGTGTCGCACTGCATTTCTTGGGCAGAAGATGCTCGTTATATAAACAATAAACATAAAGATTAAAGGGTTACGATAAAGGTTTACGCTTCCCCATAGTTATTTTCTGCTATTTTGAATAGTTGCTGACTGCTGTGCTGGTCAGTTACAGGTAGGTATCATTATACGGTAGTAAAGGTAGGTATATAGTAGTGTAACCCAGTATTATACAGTAGAGAGAGAGAGAGGGAGGGGGGATGGAGGGAAGGAGGGAGCGCGTTATCTGGTTTATACTTTGTAGCATACTATTCAACAGTTAATGCCTGTAGAAATGCCTGCTGCCTTTTAATGTAGCACAGATTGATGGAGCTGCAGAGCTGCTGTGATTGAACTATTTTCAGAGCTCAGATGTATTATTAGATGAGTTGAGTTGCGGATGTTGGCTTCGCTCCAATGAATTGCAAGTCCATCAAGATACCGGAAACTTAATATAAGGGTGGATTATAATGCTTCAAGCGACCCCGTACTGCATGACACATGTTCAACTTATGTATATATATGTATATATATACCATTCTCCCCAATTCTCCCCATTTATTTAGGTTATATATAACCTAAATAAATGGGGAGAATTGAAATGTTTGATAAAATGTATCCTATCTAGGTATTTAAATATTTTGTCGAGAACTAAACTGAGTGTTTACATTGTAAATTCCACCTGATGTTTACATTACATGCCTCATCAAATGATTGAGGTGCATACTACAGGGTCAGGGAGAAACAATGCTAGGTATATTTGTAGAACATGGAGGAACACTGCTAGTTATATTTGTAGAACATGGAGGAACACTGCTAGTTATATTTGTAGAACATGGAGGAACACTGCTAGGTATATTTGTAGAACATAGAGGTACACTGCTAGTTATATTTGTAGAACATGGAGGAACACTGCTAGGTATATTTTGTAGAACATGGAGGAACACTGCTAGTTATATTTGTAGAACATGGAGGAACACTGCTAGGTATATATTTGTAGAACATGGAGGAACACTGCTAGTTATATTTGTAGAACATGGAGGAACACTGCTAGGTATATTTTTAGAACATGAAGGAACACTGCTAGGTATATATTTTGTAGAACATGGAGGAACACTGCTAGTTATATATTTTGTAGAACATGGAGGAACACTGCTAGTTATATTTGTAGAACATGAAGGAACACTGCTAGGTATATTTCTAGAACATGAAGGAACACTGCTAGGTATATTTGTAGAACATGGAGGAACACTGCTAGTTATATTTCTAGAACATGGAGGAACACTGCTAGTTATATTTCTAGAACATGGAGGAACACTGCTAGGTATATTTCTAGAACATGGAGGAACACTGCTAGTTATATTTCTAGAACATGGAGGAACACTGCTAGTTATATTTCTAGAACATGGAGGAACACTGCTAGGTATATTTTGTAGAACATGGAGGAACACTGCTAGTTATATTTCTAGAACATGAAGGAACACTGCTAGTTATATTTCTAGAACATGGAGGAACACTGCTAGGTATATATTTTGTAGAACATGGAGGAACACTGCTAGTTATATTTCTAGAACATGAAGGAACACTGCTAGTTATATTTCTAGAACATGGAGGAACACTGCTAGTTATATTTGTAGAACATGGAGGAACACTGCTAGGTATATATTTGTAGAACATGGAGGAACACTGCTAGGTATATATTTTGTAGAACATGGAGGAACACTGCTAGGTATATTTGTAGAACATGGAGGAACACTGCTAGGGATATTTGTAGAACATGGAGGAAAACTGCTAGTTATATTTCTAGAACATGGAGGAACACTGCTAGGTATATTTGTAGAACATGGAGGAACACTGCTAGGTATATTTGTAGAACATGGAGGAACACTGCAAGTTATATTTCTAGAACATGGAGGAACACTGCTAGTTATATTTGTAGAACATGGAGGAACACTGCTAGTTATATTTCTAGAACATGGAGGAAAACTGCTAGTTATATTTCTAGAACATGGAGGAACACTGCTAGGTATATTTGTAGAACATGGAGGAACACTGCTAGGTATATTTGTAGAACATGGAGGAACACTGCTAGTTATATTTCTAGAACATGGAGGAACACTGCTAGTTATATTTCTAGAACATGAAGGAACACTGCTAGGTGTATATTTGTAGAACATGGACGAACACTGCTAGGTATATATTTCTAGAACATGGAGGAACACTGCTAGGTATATATTTGTAGAACATGAAGGAACACTGCTAGGGATATTTGTAGAACATGGAGGAACACTGCTAGGTATATATTTTCTAGAACATGAAGGAACACTATTATTCGGTATGGGTTAAAGAGGGTGGTCACGTTAACGCCACAGCCCAGGGTAGGAAATGATCTATTTCTTTTTGCAATACTACCACGTACTCATGTAGATCATCAGTATTAAGTTCCCTCGTTGCCCTTCCTATGAAAATCATATCCAGCTACTTTGTGATGCATCAATACTGAATTACTATTATCTCGTGTCTTTCTGTAATCATCTCACGTAAATCTTATATTTAGTAGAAAACATTCCTGATGACCACCTTACTAACTGAAATTATGCAGAATTTATTGATTAGTATTAGTTTTAGCACCACATACCATTAATTGCACTACGGCTCCAGTGCAACTACTGTTCCCCATTGAATATGAACCCTCGCGTGTTAACAAGGCCCGCCCATCTCTCTTGAATATGAATATTTAGTAGATTTACCCAGGGCTATGCTATAAGAGATCACCTTACGCCCGCGCATAACGCCACCAGTATGCCTATTTTTACATGGCTGTATGGTTAAGGGCACCTTTAACCTTCGAGCCTTCTAACTCTACTTAATAATTCATATATTTCGCTTTTGTAAAACCTTTTGCTGACCGCATATAATACCGGCATACAATCTACTTACTACTCCCCAGCACTCCTCCCTCAGATCACACTATTTAACCTCCTCCTTTCTGGCTCACTTCTCTAACATCCTCTCTTGTAACACTTCCTGTAGTCCGCGTGTCCACTACACAGTCTTCTCCGGACAGGGCAATTAGTTTCATATTGCAGTACCACCCAACTGTTAGAACACATCACCCCACGTGGTACAGTACGTCACCCACGTGATCACTGTCCGGTACGTCATCTTGCCTCGCATTTCATCACATTCCAGACCTCCAACCTGATCTTATCTAGATATATGCCCACATTGCTAACTACCTGTTAAAACATACCGAGTCACGTGCGCCTCTGCCTGCATTCCTATGGTCTTGCTTCACGGCTTCTGCCACCTGATTGGTTCTCAGACGTTTAGTGGTCTGAAGTCAGAGTACAGTAACATATAGGTGTCATAATTTGTTGATTGCACGGTCTAGAAATTATTCAGCAGATAGGATCCCGATCTATTGGATTGGATTTGTTGGATATTTGTAGATATCATCAGCAGTGTGTAAGCGTTATGTGTAAATGAGTTGCAAGTATACCAAATATGGGAAACCTTGGAAGAGTTAACCCTGAAATTCGACGAAAATAGTACCATGTAATGTAGATATATTATAATAATGGTGGATTCTGGTATTCCTTAATTTTGGAAATATTGTCAGTATTATTAATTGTTACTTGTCTGTTACTATTGTAATACTGTGTCCTGTCATTAACATCTCAAATTCAGTGCAAAAAAAACTTCCTTTTTTTTGTAAAAACTTCTCATTTTCCTCTTCTTAACCTCGAATTTCCTTCTCTAGGGGCAAGTTTAATGCGCAATGTCAAGCGTGAGAAGAGTCTGTCGACAATAGTTTACGAGGGAACTGAAGGAACCGGTAAAATGCAAACTATGACTATATCGGCTGACAGTAACCACATAGCGGAGACAACCGAGCTACAACTGAACAATTCCAACAATGTGAGTTCTTCATTTATTTAAGATAATAACTGTAATTTTATGCAGGTGATTTATTTTACAATATCTCGGTGTAATCCATGTAATAAAAGGGCGGTATCTTTGTTAAAGATGTCATTTTTCACGCCTTATAGTTAGTTTGTTGAGCCGTTGTGTAATACAAATCATATAAGTTGAGAAATATGAGAGGATGTTATCGCGATAACATCCTATCACAAGTTTTCACAACGGACAAAATGGCGAATTTCTCACCATAAGTGGCATTAATATCATGGTAATTGGTAAAAAGTTTGAGAAATTTTAAAATTCGGTGGTAAAAACTGCGACAAATTTATCCCTTTCCTCCCTTCTACACTCCCAAATATAACGTCTCAAGTCATGATAATACTGTATAACATTAGAACTCACTTCTCCATCACACTCACTACTCCATCACACTCACTTCCCCTAACAGTTCTACGTATCTAACTTCATTTTCAGGCCCCCACGCCCACATCATATTCCTTCGGTTCTAAATAGAACACCTGGAGACACCTGTTCCATCCCCCGCATATGTTACGTTCCTTCCCTTGTCCTTGTAGTGACTCAGTATTATGCGCTAAATTTGATCCATAACTTACTTAACCATGTTAACCATGTTACTTAATATGTTGTATAATGCGACAATGCGTTCTCAAGTTTAGTATGAAGAGAAAGTGAGTTGTCTTCATTTCATGATGCATAACTACTCATTTCTCCCACATAGCATGGCACTGAAACGTTGCTTTGTTCCTCTTTGTTTGCAACATTCCTTTTATTGAGCAACCGTGTTTCATAACATCAGGAGTATCTGCCCCCCCCCCCCCCCCCCCCCCCCCCCGCGGCCCCAGTGTGTGTATTGTGTTCCCTTCCTCTGCCCTTCCTCTGTCGTACGCAGACCCTGCCCAGATTCCATGCTGTTTCCATTATCCCAGCTATGATCGCAATGTAATGCTTTGAATTGTTATATCAATGAAAGATCGCCACGTAATATCATTCCGCACCTGCCATCAAGTAGTAGTAACATGGAACGTGTACGTGTGTAGGATCTACTCACACTGTGTAGGTCCCATCTACATTACCCCCTCAATTCAGGCCAGGTGGATCTGTTCCACTCTCAGCGCTCGTTTATAATGAAACTTTATCTCCGGGTAGGGAGGGTATTCGAGAGTTTAACCGCTTCATAGGTCACCTCATACCTTAACTCACTGGAAATGTGCGGAATATTGGCTTCGAGTTAACCAGGTCATCAGTGTGTGAAGTATTATGATCTTAGAAATAGAGGGGTTTTTGTTGTACGTTCCATGTATACGGGGAATCGTATCCTTGTGTAATATCTAGGTTAGTCATGCCCACAAATAATCGAATTTCATTAGCGTCTTAATTAATGATAAGTCCATAATTCATTTATTGTTATCCAAAGATATTGCTTAATTGAATGGTACATTAGTTACCAGATTTGGCTTTTGATAATTACCAGATTTGCCTATTGGACTTTTGGATCGTTTTTTTTTAGCAAATGTGCTCTTAGTAATTTATGTCATTTCGAATTTTTAACGGTTCGTTCTGAAAAAGCAACGTACACGACCGATAGTTGTCCTTAAAAGTTTACTTGGAGATGTCAAAACTTAAAAAAGGACCGGTCAATATTATCAAGGTTTTTGAGATGTCTTGTTGTTTTTCTTACGTTGAAATTTTGTTTCAGAGAATGTCGTCGGATGACGATGAGCATGGAGACCTGCAAAAAGAATACGAAACCCTTATGGAGGAAAATCAAAAACTAAAAAACCAAACTCAGAAGGTATTATAGTTGAGCATTTTCTTTTCTTGATCTGCTGTTGTTAGCTGAATAATTGCATTGTTTTATTTATAACTTTCTTTTGTTCCGCTTACATTGTGTTGAGCTCAAATATTTGGTTATGAATTTCTAACAGCACCAATCCCCCTCAGAAAGACTTACTAAAGCGCAAGATTTCGATGTTACGCAAAGAAAATGAGACATTAAAGTCCGCTCAGGAACAGCAGCTCAGAGAAAACTTGAAACCGGACAGCTCGGAGCCGAACTCTCAACCAAATCACAGTAGCAGTCCTCGCGAGTCAACTAGCAAAAGTGATAAAGGTAAGAAATCTTTTCACATAATAGAATTTCTGCCTTAATGGCTGTATAAGTATACATTTAATGGCAGTAAAGTAAGCTAATTAAAAGTGATTATTCAGAGAACTGATGATATTATTGATTGTAATATTTCCATTGTACAGATAATTAGTTCATGTTGTACAGTACTACTACTACTAGTTCATGTTATTCAAATTTTTAGAGAGAAGTATAGTTATATCAAATCCTATGTTTTCAGAGCAAGGGGTGTTTGCAAAGTCATTTCTGTTGACCAGTACACTAGGAGGAATATACATAGAGCCGATAGATGGTTCCAACGGAATAAAGGTCCCAGATGGGAACTCTCTATCACCCACCTCCTTCAACAACATCATCTCCAGCTCTTCGCCTACATCCAGCTACGTGTACAAGCCAGATAAAACGACCAGCACCACAGAAACACAAACCCTGTCCACCTTCCATCCTCCTGCCACCTCCAGCGCCAAGTCCGTCTACCACTACTCTCCCCGGGTTAAGGTAGCTACTACTGAGGAGGATGAAGAGGCTCATCGGTTCGTACAGGAGTTCAAAGCAAGGAGAATCGCACTGAAGCTGACTCAGAGTGACATTGGAGAGGAGCTGAACCTGCGAGCTGGAGCGAGGTACGGTCAGAGCTACATTTCCAGGATGGAGAGCATTCAACTTAGTACTGCTATCGTTCTGAGGATGAAACCTCTGCTGCTGAAGCTGTTGGAGGAGAAGGAAGATGAGCGGAGACGAATGAAGCAAAGTATGGACTTTGACGAAGAGGAGTACCATATTGACAGGAAAAGAAAGAAGAGAACAAACTTCACTCCTGAGCAGTCCCTGCTGCTGACAAAGTACTTCGCTGATCAACCAAGACCTTCTCCTCAGGAGATCGACGACATTGCCAGAAAGATCGACGTTGACCGCAACTCTGTAAAGATGTGGTTCAACAACAAGCGGCAATCTGAAAAGTTTAGAGGAACCTCCTTACCAGGTATTGGTTCTATCAACTCTGTCGGCTCCTTGAATCCGTATGCAAGTCCGTACGCCGCGATGCCGTCTTCATTCCTCATGTCTGGTTTGATGTCCAACATGGCACAGAATGCCATGAACCCAATAGTGACGACCTCCTCGCTCAACAACCTAAAGTTGGATTACAACCTGAGCAGTAAAATTCCCAGCACCACGCTGAGCTTGGAGAATGTGAACCTGGCAACTACCCAGGCACCATTTGTCTTCAACAAAGATTTGAACCAGCTCTACACCGCCGAGACAGCTGCTCGCATCAACAATGCTGTGAACAACAATCTTAAGAAAGACTGTCCTACCAGCAAAATGAACGACAACAACGCTGGACAACCTTTTTCCCTAGCCTCGCAAACCTCAAACCCGTTCATTTTCAACAAGGAGCTGACGTCCCTGTACCAGAACAACTCCCATGACCACCACAAGGTGAGCAACGACCTGGCTCAGCTCTACAAGGAACGAGTCAGTGAAGCTCACGCAAACGGTAACTTCACCCTGCCGAGCAGCCCTCCCACCACTATGCACAGCATGCAGCGAACAATCAAATCCATCTCACCTCCAAGCTCTACTCCTGCCTTCTCGCTCAGTCAGAGCCTCATCAACCGCACCCTTTCTCAAGCTGCGATGAGTCAAGAAAGCAACACAACTTCCTCGCCCAAGTTCTCGAGGTCGCCCTGATGAACAGTAGAGAACATGTTAAAGCGGTCTGGTACTACAGACTGCAGCTGCACGCCGGCCAGCCAATGTACAGACTCCTCTGTACTGAACCTGGTCTATTTCAATGAAAGACTGCAACAGTGTTTTGAGAGAAGTGACCTACTGGCACAGTGAGTGCCGCGCAGTGAGCGCCGCGCAGTGTGTGCCGCGCTCTACTGGTGCACTGAGTGCCGTTAATATGCTCTGTGGACGGTAATGTCAAGTTCGCGATCTGTGAAGTGGGGCAGGAGACTGCACCCGGGGTACGCTTGCTCTAGTACCGGGCCCTCCTGCTCCATCTTGTTTGCGAAATGCTGCCATAGTTATCTAACAAATATCTTTAGAACAAACAACTTTTGCCGCTCTAATAGTGTGATTTCATTTTCAATGCCTGCCGTTTAAAATTATCAAATCTGTTTAAAATGTTAGAAAATCTTTTGGCATTGGGTGAAACTCGCCAAATATAAAAAGGTTACCGCACGCCGTACAGTTGGGCACTTGACACCACCCTGACCCTGACCAGACAACACCAAAATGAACCATGTCTCCTATTGGTACCTGGGCTGAGCTGTTGTCGAGTTCCTACCTGACTATTATCAATATAAACTGATTGTCTTTTCTTGGTTCGATGTCTTTTTCCATCATGCTTGATGAACGAACACTTACATTATATTTGCATAGTCTTTCGCACGAGCTCCCGTGTTTCTAGCCAATACCACGTGACATAAAAAAACTTAACCTACATCCTAGATGCTCCATGACATCTCAAATACATGAAACTTCATGTTACTCATACGCCTTGCTCCTTTCTCAATATTTCAATCTGAGAATATCACTTATTAAACAAATCAACACCACAAATCAAATATTATGTCACGTGATTTTGCTAGGGATGTAATGACCCTTGTTTCCCCTAGCAAAGGGACTGTTTTCCCTAGCAACTGGACTCCTCCTAAGATCGCTCGGGGACATCACCCTCAGAGAAATAAAATAATTTGCATGACCCAACATTTTGTTGCAATATTATATTTGGTGAGGAGGTTGAGCCGCTATTTTCTGGGATTCAACTCTTGAGCCCCCACTCTTGATAGTTCGAGTATTTTAAAGCAGTTTGATTTTTAAAATATATTATTACAATAGAAAATGTTCAGGAATGTCCACACTTCAGGTGTGTTTTCTGTGTTAGTACCTTTGCCAAAGTATTGTAGTATCTGGTAATATAGTGATGTAGTATTAATAACTGTAAGCGATAAACAGCTGTAATCTGATAGATACCTCTCGTGCGTTTTAGTAATTTTGTTTCAACTGCCGGTTCACTCCTCCCTGCCAAAATAATTCTTTTAAATAACCTGCATCATCCCCGAAAAGCTTGTCTTTTCATTTCCAAATTTCACTAGATATACATATCACTTACTTCTGGTATGATCAAGCTTTTTTTGGTGGCTTTTTAGAATTGTAAAACCTCGCACGGTGTGAACTGGCAGAGTTCTATCTTTTGGTGCATGGATGGTAAATCCCCATGCCCTAGATAACATAATACAATATATACATAATACTATATAGAACTGTTTAGATGGCGGGCTATCTGGTCACTTACGTGACCGGCCACGCCCTTTTCGGTATGCTTTATTGTAACTAGTGTTATGTGTAAGTGACTGAGATACGTGTATATCAAATACGGTTCATGTTTCATATTTATAACATTCCAAAACACAACTCCCCGTTCAAGATTTTGATTGTAAAAGAGATGATGATTTCTCTTTTTGGTTAAAATTTACTGCTTTTAATGAGTAAATATAAAAGTTAATGATTTTCCTTGGAGTTATGTTTTAAGCTTTGCTGTTTGTGCCTTAATTTCCCGATATATTGTATGATACATTGTTCAGAATCCCTTTCTGACTGCCCCCTCAAAACGAAAGTAATAATAATGCCAGTTGATAACTCAAATATAACGTATTGAATATTGTGATTTGTAGTTTCATATTTACATTAGTGGAGGGGCCGCGGAATGACGCACCGGAATGCAGTGTAGTTCCGAGGCCCCTAGCAAGGTTTCACATGTCACGTGTTGCCCCTAGCAAGGTTTCACGTGTGTTCCTGAGATAATAATGTGCGGACAACCAACTTTCTTTTTTGTTCTGCAAGCAGCAAATATCATGATTTGTAATTCTCACAATTTGTATGGTTGTCCGGGCATTAAAGTAGATTGATGAAAGGTGTATGCACTTTTCAAGGTTGGTTTACATTTTGGTCCGTGTATAATATTTACTAATGATTTGGATGGAGTTTTACCAGTAGCCGCCCTATTTTGTCAGCCCTAAAACATAGGATAGACGACGGACAGGTTTCCGGGAATTGAAATACCTACACATCTTTCTAAAACTCAATTTATGTTGTTTTTAAAACGGCTATGGTTATTGAGGCTGGTCCTTGAGTTTTCCTAATATTTATATACTGTGTGAACTGCTGACGCACATTTTTAGGGACCTGTTTACTACGAAGTTTATTTCATTTCCTTTAATTCTATATTAACAGTTTGTGCATAACCACAAGTTTTTTTTGGGTTTACGGTTTGCTGAAAGTCTTATCGAGTTTGTAAAATACTAAATTATATAGCATACAGTGTTAAAGTAACGACTTGTCGTGACTAACTAGTTTTGGGCGATGTTAATACTGTTTAGTGTTGTGGCATGGATGTAATGTTACATAGCTCCTCCCATGTCGAAATGAAGGGCCAGTAAAAGTGGCAGAAGAGAGTGGGGTATTCTTGTAGACTCACTCTGCATAGTGGGCCATCAAGCTCACTTTGTGTGTTCTGGGGCAAATCTGACACGTGACACTTCGCGCCTGATTTGTTCTCAGCAACACTTATCATATGATATTATCATTGGTCTAAGTATTGTATAGGGCTACTAGTGATACGCACTCATAAAATTGCTGATTCTCTCGTGTTAGCGGAGACTTGTGCCTGCTGCTAGCTTTTCTAAATCCTCAACAAATTTGCCATTTTACCGTCAAATTTCGTTTAACAATTTTAAATTACAATTTTGTTTCTTCTAATTTTATTTAGAATCCGCTGAACTGAAAGATTTCTTTTGACAAATTTCATGAACAACCCTCCCATATTACAAATCACTATAAAATTCCTCCAAAATTAGCCTCGCCAGAACATTGTATCCCAAGACAGGGACAGAATATAAAGCTTGCAGCAAGCCTTCGGACGTGATCCGCGGTATGCACTCTCTTAGTCTCGTAAAATAGCTGTTTTGTTTTTAATACGCTACTGGGTGGTTCGAATTTTTAATATCCCTCCTAATATTTAATTTTTGATTTAGGTAACCTTACATTTTAACATTTAACCAGCAAGTGCACGTCGAATTATCCTTTCAATTTAAACTGAAATGGCCATGGAGATAGTAAGCTTATTTTGAGGAAAAGGTTATATTTTCAGATATTGCTTTCAGTAATTTGGATATGATAAATTGTTATGAATCATGTGTGTGTGCGCTGTTTTGAATTTTAATGGAAGCAATAATAATAATAATACCCTGCAATGAAACTTAATGATAATCGACCCCAATTATGTTTGAAAAAGGTGTTTCATTTCTCGAAATATTACCAAAATTACGTTTTTGAGTATCTTGTCATACGTTGTATGACCCGCCGCGCACGAGTGCGCGGCTCCACCTCTACCTCATACCTACTCCTAGTGAAACAACCGTGGGTGTCACGACGTGATACAATTGAATATCTGGAATTAATTAATAAGAAAACATGTGAGGATGCTGCCAATATCGAGTTATACTTATGGCTTAGATGAATTAGAACCAAATATGGCGAATTGGACCATCCCTAGCTCTAGTGGAAAAATCGACCTAATAATAACTCAATAATATAACTAATATAACACTTGGAGGACTCCGACGCGCCGCGCAAACTATCATTCTTGCTTCTCATCGAACGGCGCCAGCTTTTCTATATTCTTTATAGTCGCGCGCGCATCCAATAATGCTTCTCGCAACCGCAGATGCAGATCGGCGAGATGCGAAGGATTGACATCGTGAATCAACTACATTCTATCCTCCCCACTGGCACATATATATGTTGTATGACTGTAAAGGTACATTTTAACGACATTTGAAGTCAAGGCGTTGTTTTACTGACAGTTGTGGCTGACTAACAATATATATGTATATATATTAGATTAGATGATAAGAATAAGATGACATTAATTGACGATGTCAATTCATGGCAGCTCGGCGCGGCACAGTAGCGCATCTCGCCGATCTAGCCAGATCGCTGTGAGAAGCCTCATTGAGTGCACGGCGCGGCAAAGTAACGCATCGCGCTACAAATAAGACCCTAACTAAACAGTATGCATTTAGTCTGATATTTGTTCCGTTTCTATATTATATTATTATTAAAACTCTAAGATTGCGCTCCTACTAAATCGCTCGCCTGCAAATTTTAAAAAAATTTTTGTTGAAAGGCCCTTTGGGCATGAAAGTGATCTGGATCGGTGTATTTTTGGACGCTGATTCCGAATCACCCCCCATGACGTAGGGTTAAAATTCTTTCCTTGGAGAGTTATGGGAATGGGCAAAAAACCGTTTTGGTCACGTGACAAGCTAGTAAAATACGAATTCGATTGTTTAGGGCCCGGGTTAGGGTTAGGGTTGTGGTAAGGGTTATGGTTAGCTTCGGGGTTATGGTTAGGGTTAGGGTTCACCTAACCATGTGCTTTCGCGCCACTGCGGGCGCACTTGTTTCACAAGTCAAGGCGGGTGCGCGCTACTGCAAGCGCAAGGGCTCTGGATAGAGCAAGGGTTAGTATAGGGTTGGGATTAGGGTTTATGTAAAACCGTTTTGTACGGCCGCTGCAAAACCATAAAAACCAAAGTCACGTGAAATTTTTGGGCGAGCGAATTAGTAAAAGCCCTAAGATTGACGGTTGACAACTAAATTTGATGCAAAACGGCTTTAAAACGAGATTGACGGATGTTACTCGTCTAAATTTCTTCGAAGTAGCGCGCCCCCCTTTATTCTAGCCCGATGGCACGTTGTTTCATGTGGTGACCCTCACTGTCGCTTCACTATAGAGCTTCGACGATACAGGGGGAGCTGCGCACTCGTGCGCGGCGGGTCATACAACGTATGACAAATGGCACGAGCTACAAAGTAGCGCGCGCCGGGCCAGATCATTAACAATGGTCAAAATCGAGAGTACAACATCTATTATACCTGAGGTACTATAATAGCTATATACGCGCTACTTCGAAGAAATCAAAAGAACTTAAATATTCATCCTGTTTAAAATGTTCATTTATAACGATTGCATGCTTTTCCTTTGATACAGTGAAGCAGAGCATTACGATCCCCTCAAAAGGAAATCTTTTACGATCTCCTTACGATCTCCTTCGAAGCAAAGCAAAAATGATGTTCGCACGGCGCGTTGAAGCGGCGACGTTCTCCAATGTTATTCTTAAACTTGATTGACAGCTTTAGCGTTAATGTGGCTGATCCTGCTATGTGTCATGTTGGTTCAACAATTGCAAATTTAAGTTTATATTTCTAGTTTATATATATATATAAACTAGAAATATAAACTGACGTGTCCCAGTAGCCAATCATAATATATGTATTTCTACCGGTGGCACATACTGGATGGCGGTAGATGAGTACACTACTCTCTCAAGCATCTCGAGTCTCTCGGTGATCCTGCCTCCACACCACACTCAGTCTGGACTCCCTTCCGGCCGACCGAACTATTTTCCTAATATCTCCTAATATAACTTTGATCGAACTGGCCTAAATTCATGATGCACTATAAACTTGATTTGCGACAGAAATTTTAGACAATTTATCTGCTTACGTGTAATTTCAAACTCTTATCAGTTACCATGTCTTTTATCTAATTTTTATCAGCAGATTTATAAATCTGCTGTTCATTTGTAGTTATTACCTTTCTAGTTATGAGTAAATTTTTGCCTTCCATCAATTGAGTGCAGCTTTCAGTTTCAAAATTTTCAGTTTATTCAGATTTTTCGTTTTCAATATTGCAAATTTTTAATAAATCATGTTCAGATTATGGTGATAATGGATGTAAAGGTACTTCAACCGAATTAACAATCCAACCGTGTGTATGACGTGTCCCAGTAGCCAATCATAATATATGTATTTCTACCGGTGGCACATACTGGATGGCGGTAGATGAGTACACTACTCTCTCAAGCATCTCGAGTCTCTCGGTGATCCTGCCTCCACACCACACTCAGTCTGGACTCCCTTCCGGCCGACCGAACTATTTTCCTAATATCTCCTAATATAACTTTGATCGAACTGGCCTAAATTCATGATGCACTATAAACTTGATTTGCGACAGAAATTTTAGACAATTTATCTGCTTACGTGTAATTTCAAACTCTTATCAGTTACCATGTCTTTTATCTAATTTTTATCAGCAGATTTATAAATCTGCTGTTCATTTGTAGTTATTACCTTTCTAGTTATGAGTAAATTTTTGCCTTCCATCAATTGAGTGCAGCTTTCAGTTTCAAAATTTTCAGTTTATTCAGATTTTTCGTTTTCAATATTGCAAATTTTTAATAAATCATGTTCAGATTATGGTGATAATGGATGTAAAGGTACTTCAACCGAATTAACAATCCAACCGTGTGTATGACGTGTCCCAGTAGCCAATCATAATATATATATATATATATATAACTCTAAAACTCTGGTCACAAGAGCAACTGCCTAAACGTGCAGAAGTGAAAACAAATACATAAAATACTAGCAATCCTTTAAATTCGCAATAAATAAGTTCGTTCAATGTCATTATATAATTCTTAAAACCGCGTATATATGTGACCGGTAAATAATTTAATTGGTCTATAGACTACTGTATAAAATTCTCAATATAAACTTTTTAACAATAATAAATTAATTAAAAACACACAACAACCTTTGGTGTGTAAGAATGATTAAACAGTCTCATTTTGACACAAAATATCTTCATAATATTATAGTATATGCTATAATATTAGAACTGTTAAGTTGAGTTCAGGTAACAGAATTTAACTGCAATAGAACCTCTGCTGTGTTATCCACTGTTGAGATGTAGCCATATTTTCGTCTGGTCTAACATTGACCCCGGCTCATGAAATATATGCTTCGTCCGGTCTAACATTGAACCCGGCTCACTAATCATAGGGATGGTGTAGTTATGGTAGTTGGAATATAATCAACTGTTTAAAGTTTTATCTCTATTCGAAGGAATTCTTCTGCATCAAGATGGATCTTGTGAGCCTATTGTTGTAGACAGTGATGTAACACTCCCAAAGATTGACAGTTCACACAGGGACAAGACAAAATGTCCATGCAATAAGTCAATATCGTCATGGAAGATTGACTGTGTAAAGTGCAAGCAATATTGGCACATAGACTGTCTAACTATGAACGGACTCAATCAGAAAAACGTCAACAGCATGACCAATTGGCACTGCCCCTTTTGTTTGGTTTTACCAATTCCCACACTCGAAACTGCTGCAGATGTGTGTTATGTGTGTAGGAACACTCTGACACTTCAAAAATCTAACAGTCAGTGTGAGACAGCTATTGCCACAGAGAAGCTTAATACCATCACAGCTTTTGGTGAAAAGCTTGGCAAAGTTGACTTTGACAGTCTAAACGACAGCATTGCCGCCATCCAGAACCTTGACCTCCATATCAAGCACCTACTGGTTAGTGACAAGAACACCGCTCCAGCATGGGTTGAAATTATGGAAGGAGATCTGAAGCAGCTGAAAACTTCAGTTGACTCCGGACTCGGAAAGGTTTCTGAGACTGATAGTGGCCTAACAGAACAGATTAGAGTGTTGAACAAGCAACTGCAGGACTTTTCTATTCCTCAAGTAAGTGCTCAATCTTCATCCAAGACCAAAGATCTCATGGAAAAAATAGAGAAGAATCTCCATGAGCTAAATTCCAAGCAGTCTCTGGAGACGAATCAGGAGCTAACAGCCATCAGACAGTCTTTGAACACTCTTGAGCAAAATTCTTTGGCTTCTTCTGACCATTTAAATGCCCAACTTACCAATTCTTCACTTGCCCCTGGCCCAGACCTAACAGCTAATGAGCATCTCAAATCAAGAGAAGAACCAGTTGTAGGCGCTATAGAAGAGTTTATCACCACAGAAGAGCAGGATCTTCTCCTCCTTGCCTGTCAATCACTTGACGAGGATTTTGTTGTGGAAGGAGCTCGTGCTGTGTATTCTCTGGGAGAACCATACAAGTATAATGGCTCCAAGTCACCCAATGGTCAGCTAGAGTCAACCAGCTTCTCTAAACTGATGGACAAAATCAATGGGGCATTCTGTAGTGGTGAGAAACCGAAGATCAATAGTCTGCTGATCAACCGCTTCAAAGAGGATGGCTCCCTACCAAAACATTCGGATGATGAAGCCACCATCCACCCCGAATCCGAAATTTTCACTGTGTCCATCGGAGGCCAGTGCAACATCAAATTCTTTGACAAGAAGACGGATGATATAGTCCTTGACCACCCATGTGTTCCAAGATCCATGTATCGCATGACACGAAGTAGCCAAGAGTATTACAGCCACTGTATCATGGATGGGGCAATAACTGGTGGGGTCAGATACAGCCTAACTTTTCGTTCAGTTAGCTTCAGGAACAAGAACTCTACGTGCATCATAGGAGACAGTCATACAGGGGGGCTTAAGTTTGGGTCAGATGCCAGGAAATCGTTTGGACAATGGTTCCCTGGGAGGCAATATTTTGCACCAGTGGTTGACCAGATTGACCCATATGTCACATGTGGTTATCGTAACGTTGTTTTGATGTGTGCGATTAATGATCTTAAAAAACCTGAGATCAAGAATACAGCTGATATTAAACGAAATGTATTTATTCCCTTTATTAAAAAGATTGAGAAAATTCATGCTATTAACCCTAAGGCACATGTATATGTTTGTCCAGCCCTGCCTACAAAGCTTGCTGAACTGAATAGAAAAGTTGTTTGCTTTAACCGCCTTATTCTGACAGAGCTGATCCCTTCAAATTTTGGTGTGACTTACGTCGATGGGTTCGGTGGGTTTTGTGATGATGCTGGGCTTCTTAGCCAACAGTTCTCCAGAAACATCGGCCGAGACCAGCGACCAGATTATCTCCACCTTAACTGGAGGGGTACAGCTAAACTAGGCACTTTGATTCGTAACACAGTGCTTCTTAGAATGAATGGAGGAGTTGATAGAAGGAAAAGGAGAACAGACGAGGTTGATGGACGCTCATATCGGAACGTGTTGAGTGGGACGGGTTCTACTACTGCTGCTGAGTCTCGACACCAGGATGGTTACCAGCCATTCTGACTCCCCTGAGTAAAGAGGTATGCCTAGTCTGTGCGAAGTTCATTAACGTAGGACAATTCATTGTTGAATGCTGTGAATGCGACTGCCCAATGCACCATAAGTGCTATACCAAATCCATTAACAATGACACATTATCTGACGATTTTTACTGTCCCAAGTGCGTACATTTAGCAGTTATTCGTTACAATCCATTTCGACTTGCATGCACTAATTTAAGTGATATTGAAAGTAGTGAAGTGGATGACACTATCATAAAAGTAGATCAAATACTAAATAACTGCGTATCGTACAATGTCAAGGAATTCAACAAAGCACTAGATAATCAAATGAATGAATTTTCATCGCTTCTCTTCCAAAACATCGACGGCAATAAGTCAAATTTCGACACTTTCGCTATTGAATCCCATAGGCTCACCAAGAAATTCTCGATCATAGCCTTAGCGGAAACAAATGAAGGTCCTGAATCCAGCAGTTTGTATCAATTAACTGGATACAACAGTTTCTACCAAAACACAATACCAGATAAAAAAAAGGGCACTGGAGTGGCTCTCTATGTTTGTGACACTCTTAGTGCCAGAGTAAACGGCAATGTATCCCATATCACTGAACATTTAGAAACTCTTTTTGTGGCCGTAAGTAGTACAACTTCCCCAGTAACAGTTGGTGTAATGTACCGTCCTCCAAGTGGTAATGTCAATGTTGCACTATCTGAACTCTCTGACATCCTTGACAGTCTCCCCAAGTGTAGTTACCTAGCGGGTGATTTTAACATTGATTTACACGATAAGAATAGCACAATCGTACAACGCTATGAAGAAATACTATTAAGTAAAGGATTTTTCCCCCTAATTTCGTTAGCAACACATGAGAAACCAGGCTGTAAAGCATCCTGTATTGATAACATAATAACTAACGACGTAGAGAGTATAGTAGCTTCTGGAATACTGACTGACCGTATATCACACCACTCACCCATCTTCCAAATCTTTGATAGAAACTTGGACTCTAGCAGAATTGACCTGAAATACAAACAGTATTATGATTACAACAAACCGAATGTAAAAGCTTTTTTACAGACTCTGGAACATGATCTCAATAATAATGTTATCGACAATTTTACAACATTTCACGACATATTTAAGGACTGTATAGATAGAACTTGTAAGTTAGAAACCCCTAAATGCTCTAAAAGAACAGCACTGAACAACCCATGGATTACACCAGACCTTGTGGGCAAAATTTCATATCAGCACGAACTTTACGATAAATGGGTAAAGGTCAGAAAAGTTAAATGTAAATTTGGGGAAATTGAAAATAAAGGGGGGACATGCCAATGCCCAATATGTTGCTCAAAACGTGACAAGTATAAAAAATACAGTGACTGCAGGCGGAAGGTCAAAAAAGATCGCCGCAATGCTCAATCTAAGTTCTATGGTGGAAAATTTGCAGAGTTGCACGGAAACAGTAAAAAGACGTGGGAATTAATTAACCAAATACGGGGTAAACGAAAACGACAAACCAAACCTCTATTTACTATCAATAATGAAAAAATTACTAATCGTAGGGTAATAGCTAATGAGTTTAATAAGTACTTTGTCTCCCTAGCTTCTAATCTTAACGAGGCATACAATGAAATCGGCGAACTAGTAATTAATGGCATCCCCAGTATCTATGACTACCTACCAAAATCCAACACGACCAGTATTTACATGCATGATTGTACAATCGATGAAGTATGTAAAATAATATCAGAATTGAAAAATGGCAAATCGTCTGATATCCCAATACATGTTGTAAAAGCGTCATCCAGAATTATCGCCCCCCTATTATCTGTACTATACAATGAATGTTTGAAGGAGGGAATATTCCCGGACGATTTAAAGATTGGCAGGATCAGTCCCATATACAAGAAAGAAAATGAAGAATTACTTGAAAACTATAGACCAGTCTCTACCTTAGCCGTATTTGGTAAGTTATTCGAGAAAATTATATATAGTAGGCTATACAGCTTTTTCCAGTCACAAAATATGATCTATGAAAATCAGTATGGATTCCGTAAAAATCACTCTACAAGTCATGCCCTGAATTTCTCAGTGAATTATATAGAATCATGCCTTAATAAAAAGCAGCACGTGCTCGGAATATTCATTGATCTAAGCAAAGCATTCGATACCATCTCAGCTGACAAATTACTGAGTAAGCTAGATAATTACGGAATTCGAGGCAATGCCAACAAACTCATTGCTAGTTATCTCTCTAATAGATATCAATACGTCTCGGTCCTAGGAGAAGAGTCTGACAAGCTTCCAGTTCTCTTTGGAGTACCCCAGGGATCTTGTCTTGGTCCGTTACTATTTATTATTTATATCAACGACCTATATAGGGCAACTGAACTAGGCAAGTTCATTCTATTTGCTGACGATACAAATATATTTGTCGCGGATGAATGTAAGATAAAGTTATATGAACGAGCAAACCAAATTCTCAAACTGGTACAACTGTATATGAAATGTAATCTCCTGCATATTAACATTAAGAAATGCTGTTACATTCACTTTAAACCAACGAATAGAAAAAGCAAGGTAGAACATAATGAAGAAGAACACGTACTTACTCTAAACAATGTAGTAATAAAGCAAGTCAAAAAGGTGAAGTTTCTTGGTGTTATTATTGATGATCAGCTTAAATGGGATGCTCAAATACGGTCGCTCAACACAAAGCTGAAATGTGAAAGTGGGAAAATTTGTAGAATACGGCACATTATTCCAGAAAAACTCTACAAAGAACTGTACTACACACTATTTGAATCACACTTGCGATTTGGGATATCAGTATGGGGTGGCCTTAGTAACAACAGGCTTGAACCAATATTTATCACTCAGAAGAAATGTGTTAGAATACTATTTGGTAACCGAGAGGCGTACTTAGAAAAGTTTAGAACTTGTGCTAGAACACGAAGTAAAGACAAGCAAAAATTAGGAAGCGACTTCTATGAAAAACAGCACACAAAACCCCTATTTAAGAAAAATGGTTTACTAACCATACACAGTTTGTTCAAACACACATGTTTATTGGAAATGTTCAAAATCAATAAATTAGAATCCCCAGTCCCACTCCTAAATCTATTTCACAGATCATCAAGACGTGCTGATCGATTCATCACTCCAACCCCATCCACCTCCTTCATATATCAATCGACAAAAATGTGGAACGATTGTAGGAACACTGCTAGCAATATCAACTTCTCTACATCAACGAACCTTGTGAAATCCACAATAAAAAAGGAGTTACTCGGCATGCAGTCCAGGTACGACGAAATAGATTGGTGTGAACTGAACTTCGATTCCAACGAACTGAAATTCTAATGTCTACTCAATGAAGATATGCTGAGCGCTAAAGCCGATTGAAATGTTAATGTCTAAAGTATAAAATTTCGGCGGTCACGCCGCGCATTTTGCGCGCTGTGCCGCTATTTTTGGCCCATCTTATCAGATATTATTTACAATGTACTCGCACAGTACATGCAGGGCATGCCTCAAGATCATATTAGTGTAGGAATCATTATGTTTTCAACAATTCATTATATGTCGAATTCAGCAGTGGGTCCTCTCTTCGTCCGGTTTGTGTGTTTGTCGCCTGTCTGGACTCTCGTAGTCATGTAATTTTTAATTTTTAATTTCTAATTTGTTATTTTAATTTTAATTTTTCAATTTTCTAAATGTGTGTTCTGCTCCGGGACTCGATTACCGTTTCGGCTTTCTTGAGACTGTAAATTTTGAAAGCCAACTATGCGGGGCGCCTGCCCACCGGCACTGAAGAGTGATCAAAGAATTAACTAAAATTTCCTAATATAACGATTGAATATAGAGTTGTTTAACCGGCGCGGCCATGGGTGTGTGGCCTAGCTTTGGCTGCACACCTATGACTGCGCTGTTGCTGGTGGACAGGCGCAGTTTTTGTTGTGCAGTAGTGTTGCAAGAGAATAAAACCAACTTATTATGTACTAAATGGAATCAAGAATATTATTGACTATATTTGATAACGATGAATTGTAAATTTCGATCAATTTATATTTTTCGGTCTCCAATTATTGAACTGCGGAAGCTGGTTGCCTCAACAATGTTGACTACGCATGGTATGACTGAATTGTAAACACGTGATAATTGAACGAAAAATAAATGATGAACATGATTCAAAAACTGTAAACCACCAAATGAATTATCGCTTAAATTTAAATAAGTATTTAAACAAAAACCATCATGTGCCGTTAAGCAGCAGGGCGCGGCTCATCTGGGCCACAGCAAATCGGCGAAAATGGGTTCGAAAAAGCCACTATTGGCACTCGAGTCCTTGATCTTTCCGATGGTTCACTGGGGCTTTTGAGCTGCCGTCCTTCAGCTTCTGTAAACTGAAATTACTACCAATCCAAGTTGAGGCAATCAGCCGACGCGCGGCTTTTGTGGTTATATATGATATGTTTAATCTGTAATAAAGATCAAAATTCAAATTTGTTTCTCTCTCTCTCCCTTTGTTATTTCCAGTGCTAGATCAAAGAACTCACGAAGTCTGCTCCATGATATCAACATTGAGTTCCCACCATAGCCTTGGTTTTTGATGTTGTGGAAAGGGTGTCTTTCAAGAAGCTCACTCATTTTGTTCCTTTTATCTGCTTGTACATCAGGACAGTCGGTAAGCAGGTGAAGTGAATTTTGAGCCCCTCGCCTACAATCACACAGTGGAGAATCAAATTTACTATTTTTGAAGCGGTGTAGAAATTCATTCATTATGTTGTTTGGATAGAACAAACTTAGAAACAAGGTTTCAAGTTGCCTTGATGTTTTGGGCGGAAACTTGAGCTTTGTGGCGCTCACTGTAGGTGCCTCTGTATACCCTTCCAGCTGGTACTGGCTGTTTATGGACGATTGCCAAAGCTGTTCACTGTAATGTTTCATCACTGATTTACTGTAGCTGCATCCTTTTATTGATAGACTGGTGAGTTTTTCTAGATCATGGTTATTTATGATTTTTAGATCCTCATTAGTGAAGTGTTCAGGAAGTATTGAAGATTTCCACAATAGAAACTGAAATACATCTTTTACCTTTCCAGTTAGTGCGCTGTAACTGCCTGATTTCATTTGGTCATCAATAAGGTGTTTCAGTGGATCCTCTTTATTCGGGAATATATTCAGTTTAAGGATGTGCTTCACTGAGTTCACTTTGTTTGATATGTTGAGTGGCAACACACCAAGTATCATTTCAGCTGTAGTTAGTCTTACATTGAACACTGCACCCAAAGCTGCTTTTATAGTCTAGTTTAGTTAAATACAACTCATTGTATAACTTATAAATTATATTACAATACCATTGCTTTCGTTAGTTTTATATCAAAATGATGTCAATGCAGTTTTGCATGGCTGGAATGAAACGATTGAATAAGAAATAATAAAATAAAAAACCATATATTTTTAAACTACAATTTGGTATTTGATTGTCAACTCGTAGCAAACTACTGCGGCTCAAGTCGTCTGTCTAGTATAGCTCAACAAATCAGTAACTAATTTTAGAAACTTGTAATTATCGAGCGAAGAGTTATTTAACATCAGGATCACCCAAACATTTTGGCTTCTACCTACAGTTTCCATATTAAAATATACAAAACAATTGTTTTTGAAAATATTTGAACATTTTGAAGATGGAGAAGAAAAAATGTCCAGTAGTTTGTTTTCAGAATGTACTGATTTACAGAATGTATCTTTAAGTGTCTTTAACCTCAACTTCAATTTTCCTTCCTGCTCTTATTCTTCTAACATCCTTGTCATTGGTTATTCTGACATCTGGCAGTTTTCTTATACAAACAATTTCCTCCCTATCTATATCGAATTCATTGCATAACGTAAACTTGAGCTCCTCAATCGTCTGCCCTAGGTCTGCAATATCTATTTCTATGAAGTCCGCCTGACCAGTTATTTTCACCTTTACTGCATTGACTGCGGATAATAATGATTGTTATTTATAAGTTTGTTGGCTAACGAATGTACAATGAACATTTCATTACCACACGTTGCATGTACCTTTTATCACGCACGCCAAGCGTGTGTGTTGGCTGCCGTAAAAGGGGAATATAATGTGTGTCAAATGTTTCATGGAAATAATGATTTGTTTTAGATGTTTGCCGTCATATGTTTATGAAACAATGAATTTCTGTTTATAAATATCCTTTTAACGTTTTCCAACATTTAAAACTGAGTTAAGGTACCACAGCATCATTTATGATGTATTATTTGTCGTGATTAGTTTCTATGATATTCAAATCGTATAATATTTAAGCTTTTTATATACATATTTTGACCCTCATGTTGGCTGCATTACCAAAATGATTATTTTCTGACTAAATCTGATCCTGTTCACCCGGTTAATAGATATTGAAGAGACTACATTACCTTCTCTAGCTCCAAAATCAACAACATTATCGTCGTTGCAATTGTATATAATGCTGTACAATACGTCTGGTCTGTTTGCCGTCACTCTCTTGATCCCTGGTAACATAAATTATAATAAATTATGCGCGTATTGGTAAGTTACTTACAACTTGTAAGTTTGTAACCTACCATGATGTGCGCCAAGTTTGACTCGTCAATATTTGGAACAAATATGTTACGAGTATCACCCGTTAAACTAAAACTGAAACCTTGCGATGTTTTTAACTTATCCAGACCACCCGGTGATGACAACAAATTATGTTATAGACCCTGTCCCTGTCCCTGTCCCTGTCCTGAGTGTCCCTGTCCCTGTCCCTGTCCATGTCCCTGTCCCTGTCCCTGTCCCTGTCCCTGTCCCTGTCCCTGTCCCTGTCCCTGTCCCTGTCCCTGTCCCTGTCCCTGTCCCTGTCCCTGTCCCTGTCCCTGTCCCTGTCCCTGTCCCTGTCCCTGTCCCTGTCCCTGTCCCTGTCCCTGTCCCTGTCCCTGTCCCTGTCCCTGTCCCTGTCCCTGTCCCTGTCCCTGTCCCTGTCCCTGTCCCTGTCCCTGTCCCTGTCCCTGTCCCTGTCCCTGTCCCTGTCCCTGTCCCTGTCCCTGTCCCTGTCCCTGTCCCTGTCCCTGTCCCTGTCCCTGTCCCTGTCCCTGTCCCTGTCCCTGTCCCTGTCCCTGTCCCTGTCCCTGTCCCTGTCCCTGTCCCTGTCCCTGTCCCTGTCCCTGTCCCTGTCCCTGTCCCTGTCCCTGTCCCTGTCCACGACCAGGACCTAAAACATTAATAGCATGAGGGAAAATAATACTTAGGACTTCACAATGGGTAACATTAAAAGCACTGACCTGGATTTGATTGTGAGTATATGTTGGTTGAGGTAAGAGATGGTTGTGCAGGTGTTTTAGCAAGACGACTGCGTATGACAGAACTCAGTTGATTTGTGGGAGAGTCATATGATTGTAGTTGTGGGAGTGTCATGTAATTCGGATCGTCTTCTGACAAGTCCAGGGAGGAAGTGCCTTTCTGAGCCGAGAATTTTAGCTGCATCTGTTCAAAATATTGATCATTATTGGCATAGTGATTGGACATCTCACTATAATATATATAATATATATACTACTGTATATTACCTTATTACTACACCATATTGATCACATCTTCTTTTCAAGCTATTATCTAATTCTGAGCTTTTAAATGTCATATCACGATGAATATCTTTGAAAATTTTGTTAAAACAAGTATTACTAATTACTTATTAATTAATTAAAACAAGTGTTATTTATTATTTACTAATTACTTATCAATTAATTAAAACAAGTATTATTAATCACTTATTAATTAATTAAAACAAGTATTACTAATTACTTATTAATTAATTAAAAAGAGTGTTATTAAATATTTACTAATTACTTATTAATTAATTTAAAAAAGTATTACTTCCTGCTGAGCATGAGGTACTGAACATGCTGTCATGTATCCCTCTTTTTCGTCAAACGAATTTTGTGTACTTTTGAGGGAACAAGTCTGTGATTCTGTTCGATGAAGAAGCTAAAATGGTTGGTACGGTAAAAGAAAAATCGATAAATATGTATCGAAAAATCAGTCTACAAAACATTACATTCATTTGGATCATATTGACTATTGCAAAACCTTATTAATATACTAATATTGTAAAAATGTGTATGTTGCCATTCTTCCCACCTACTTTTGAACTGGATGCTGAACTTGATCTTCGACTTTCAAGTTCATCGTCTGACGAGGAAGAGGAATCTGAATCTTGAATTTTGGTCATTCTCTCTATACCAATTGAGTCTGCATCTTCATAGTCTCTCTGATTTAGCATAGTAGTCAAGAATATCAGTTGATTACTATATTAATGAGAATAACTTACAACTAATCCTTGTAAAATTGATAAGGTTAACTTACAGTTAATGCTTGTCCTGATGAGAAATATATGGCAGCTTGCTTATACTTCTTGAGAATAAGTTCACGGATGATGTTTTGAGACTGAAAAATAATCCACTCATCAACAGACGTATATTAATATATTATCAAAGTAAATAATATAATATCAGGCCTAATCTAGATAAATCGACTAACGAAGATTTAGAAGTTCAAGTAAACAGTAAATACCTTCATGTTGTTCATGTATTCCAGTGTGCCCGGTCGAAGTTGTCTGCAAAAGATAAATTGAACTCGAGACTGCACAGTGTACAGTGTACAGTGTACAGTGTACAGTGTACAGTGTACAGTGTACAGTGTACAGTGTACAGTGTACAGTGTACAGTGTACAGTGTACAGTGTACAGTGTACAGTGTACAGTGTACAGTGTACAGTGTACAGTGACTTTTGGAGTAATAGAAATGGGGACACGTTTTTTGACGATTTTTCCAGGTCCAAGATTTTCCAGGTCCAAGATTTTGTTAATTTTACGCTGGGAAACCAAATCTTAACTAGACTGTCAGAGATGAGAGAAGGATATATCGGCGCTACTAATCATTAATGTTCAAATCTCTCTACAGATACCTCATTGTGGGCCCGTAGTTGTTGTGCAATACTAATGTTTAATGTTGAGATAATATCTCTAAATACCTCATTGTGGGCCCGTAGTTGTTGTGCAATACTAATGATTAATGTTGAGATAATATCTCCAAATACCTCATTGTGGGCCCGTAGTTGTTTTGCTGTACTAATGATTAATGTTGAGATAATATCTCCAAATACCTCATTGTGGGCCCGTAGTTGTTGTGCAATACTAATGATTAATGTTGAGATAATATCTCCAAATACCTCATTGTGGGCCCGTAGTTGTTGTGCTGTACTAATGATTAATGTTGAGATAATATCTCCAAATACCTCATTGTGGGCCCGTAGTTGTTGTGCAATACTAATGATTAATGTTGAGATAATATCTCCAAATACCTCATTGTGGGCCCGTAGTTGTTGTGCAATACTAATGATTAATGTTGAGATAATATCTCCAAATACCTCATTGTGGGCCCGTAGTTGTTGTGCAATACTAATGATTAATGTTGAGATAATATCTCCAAATACCTCATTGTGGGCCCGTAGTTGTTGTGCAATACTAATGATTAATGTTGAGATAATATCTCCAAATACCTCATTGTGGGCCCGTAGTTGTTGTGCAATACTAATGATTAATGTTGAGATAATATCTCCAAATACCTCATTGTGGGCCCGTAGTTGTTGTGTTGTTCTCCATTAGCTATCCAGAGCATGCTCGCCTTAGCAACATCTGAAGTACACAGGAACACGTACCGTCGCGCCTTTATGTCGTCAAACACAAACTCAAAGTGGTGCTGCTCGTTATGCTGCAACTCAACTCTAGAAATGTTATGACGTCATTTACCAACTAATTTAGCAGCAGATTAATATGAAAAGGTACAAACTTAGTACATTGTTATACACAAAGTACATAGTACATTGTTACATACAAAGTACATTGATATACACAAAGTACATGGTACATTGTTACATACAAAGTACATTGATATACACAAAGTACATGGTACATTGTTACATACAAAGTACATTGATATACACAAAGTACATGGTACATTGTTACATACAAAGTACATTGATATACACAAAGTACATGGTACATTGTTACATACAAAGTACATTGATATACACAAAGTACATGGTACATTGTTACATACAAAGTACAATTGTACATTAGTACAATAGTAGTGGAGGATTATTACCTGACTCCAGCTATGGGAATTGTACCAGATCTTTTGTCTGAATCTATCTTGTAATAGTCCACTCTGTCTGCATGGAATTCCAGTCTTCTTTTCTGATCTGACGAGAAATTTGTTATTACATTTAAAACCCCAATTTGCTGTACCTCGATTTACCATACCTCTTCCTTTTCCCTCAAAACTTTGGAAACATTCTCAGTATGACATCACGTGATCCTTTGAATTAAAGCGTATAAATGGGTCCCTGAAGTCAAACGAGCTTGTCAGGCTTGTAACTTCCCCTAATTACTTCTTACTAAAGTACTTGTGAACCATAACCCTTACGTGGGATCCAGTGCTGTGCTCTAACGAGATGATGAGATTAATCAAGTATTTAATATTTATTTGTGCATTTGCTCTGACAACGGTACGGAGAGAAATGTCAACATTTCACTTCAAATTCCACAGTTTATACAGCAATACTGCCCCGAATGTCCTGCTGTTAAGAATGGTTCGCCAGGTTTCATGTCAGGTCCCGAAAACTATTTGCAACAATCATTCGAAATGCTGTGATAGCCCAACTCAAATCTATAAAGCTGGTGCCTTCATATTACAGATTCGTATTTTACTTATCAGCAAAAATATGATAAAAGCAAGTCGAAATACGATAAGAAAATTTCTCGAAAAGATAAAATTCCATTAGCTAGGTGCTACTAAGCTAGTAAAATCATAAAATTGGGATGGTAAATGTGATCTGTATCTATAAACATTATTATAAAACCTACATTTGGTACTGCTTCGTTTGTGCAGCTTCTTGACAACACCAGAGTAAAGGAACCTCGGCCTCGTGAAATTAGTACTATCAACAGTGCTGCTGTCTACAGAGGACATCTCTTCGATTATTAAAGACGATTTGTTTTTAACACGTGCTTTCTTTTTCCCTTTTCGTGACTTAAACGAGCCTGTCAATCTATTGAGTGGCGAAGAAATGTTGACTACGATGCAAAACAAACAATGAAAGTGACAATTTCTCGAGGAAGAGCAATACACTTCTGAATACCCACTTCACATACAGAGAAAAGTAATGCGACCCTAGTACATTCACTCATCACGTGACTAAAAAAGAGTAAAATGTTTTGTTGAGTACTCCGGGGTTAACTGTTTTAGAGCTTTTTGTAGAACTGCAGCTTCAACTAACGGCTTTTGTCCTGTCTCAAAAATATTGCATCATCAAACATATTTTATCCTCCCATTACTCGAACAATAATTTACATTATTTACCCAACAATTTAAAATTACCTTCTGAAAATACATACGTTTGCATTTCATTCATCTATGCAAACAAAAGCAAAATTCTAAAATATGATTTATGAATAAACTGAAGACTTGGGAGGGATACAAATAGTTAAAAAAATAAAAATAAATAAAATGTAGGATGTGAATTGTAAAGAATTGTACAAGATGACTGCCGACATTCCTACACAGCTCATTTCAACTGAAGGGTGGATTAAGGTTAGCCTCAATTTAGAAACTTCTCCTTTGCTCCTAGTTTCCACTTCTGAATAACTTTATGACAGCTTCCAATTATTGATTGATACCTAAGCACTAATTATAACTCTTCAAATAGCATAACATTAAATAACACGATGTTCTACCGAGCTAACACTCTCAGGAGCACGGGTTGAAACCCAGGAAGCTGACACGTGACCACATTTTAAAGAAGATAGGATTTAAAGCAGCTGCAGGGTATGTGGGATCACTAAAGAAGAATGTAAAGTCACGTTACAGCCTCGACATGTACAACATTGTTAAAGATGGAAATGGAAACAGTGTCTTTGTAAGTTACCCTTATACTATCTGTACTATATTACACTTTTTAAACTAATAATCTCATATCTAATCCAACTTGGAGGGGTTGTTTGAAACATATAAGTTATAGGAAATGTTTATTAAGCAGTTATCCAACTTGATGTTCCCCCCGGCCCCTTTAACACAAATGCTAGTAATTACACTGTCTGCTCACCCCCCCGGCCCCTTTAACACGAATGTTAGTAATCATACTGTCTGCTCACACTATTCTTCTTCAGCTAACAGGCCGACTGGAGGATCTGCAGAAAGAAGAGGCAAAGCTGCGGTCCCTGATCTCAGATATACAGGAGAGAGTAGAGTGGCTGATGAGTGGGAGCAGGGAGAAGTTTGGGGTGGTCACTGAGCGGAGGGTGGTGCTGGTCATGGCCAGCTATCATATTAGTAATGTTACTTTTGGCAGCTTTTGTAGTGCTGTTGCGGGATTGGTCAGGGAGCAGATTATTGAGATTGACTCTTATAACGTTATCAGGTATAATGATAGTCTTGAAATTGGTATGATTATGGTTTCAGCACTAAAAACAGCACTCTTTTATATTTTCTAAAGCGGTCTAAAGAACCAATATCATTTGAAATTAGTAACATAACCCCAAAAATTTAACATGATGATTTCAGAGCCAGCGATACTATATCAGAATGTTGGAATGAGTTAAGAGACATCACTCGAGACAATCTGAGACAAAGTCTGGCTTTTGTCCTGTCTCAACAACCAACAATTCTTTTTAATAAAGACACGCTTTGTGAGGCTGTTAAATCTGCGGTAAGATTACGGCATATATTACTGAGATTTCATCAGCAATTTGTAGAACTTTAGCACAGGTGACACACAATGTTGTGCTTATGATGTAATGTAGAAGAGTGTAACGTGAGGACAACTTAGCAAACTGAGCTGAGGGTGTTTTGCAGCACAACAAGTAGGGTTTGCTTTCTGATCGGTATGAGCTTTAAGCTATCTGCAAGTGACTGTTAGTTATATTGCGTAAGCCAGCTTTTAACTTTTATTCAGACCCCCTCCCCCATTCTCCCTCCATAACTTAGCAACTCCTTTTGTGTCAGAATTACAAGCTTTCCCACTCCTCCTTGACTGGCTTGCGCAATAAGTGAACGATACTTTAGCCATTTTACATGTGTATAACGGCCTGAGCAAGGCTTTAAAAGCCCTAGAATTAAAGCAGTTACCCTTTTCAACGCTCATTTAACGGCTATAATACTAAACATTGGAGAATTACGAGTGGACTGAGCACAATCTTATTTCTCGATCCAAGTTTATATTATCTTGCCTTAACAACTTCACATTGTTATTCTTCTTAACTCGATGCTAATTTAACCTAAATATTTCTCTAGATAAATGCAGCAGACGTGGACGGTGTTTATCTGTTGGTACAGGGATCTCCTGACCAAAATACCCACGAACATCTCACTAGACTGGTAAATGGATTTAGTTTCAATTATTCATTAATAAGTATTAAAATTAAATTATGATTAAATGGTTTTCCATTTTACCGTACCACGACAGACTAAATGAACTTCATTTTAGAGTTTTATTTTGTTACTTACTGTTAATTTAGACACACTTCGTACGGCATCTTTTTATAGCCAAACAAGCACATGAAAGACCTTATTGACATTTTGTATGTATGTACCGCTTGACAGGTACCGTGCATTATTTTTCTTGTTTGTTTGTTTGTTTATAGAACCCGTCCCCAATCTCGTATTGGAAAATGACTAAACTCAGGTCTGAGTGTGAATACGGGTGGTACCTGCAAGAGTGTTCATTAAGCATTTAGAGTTCTGTAAAACTGCAGTTACAATTGTGCTAGAGTATTTTTAGTATATACGATTGGTATCAGAAATATATCCCTACATGCTTCCAAAATTTGTAAAGCCGTAGTACATACATATCACATTACACCAGAGCCTACACAGTGCAATCTCCTCCAGTCTATCTGCGCCGCGTATATTTGTATAAGCACACGGCGCAGACTGGAAAAAACCACACTCTGCAAGTTCAATCCAGTGCAATGCTACATATGTACGTACTACGGCTTCATCTCCAACTTTCTGCACAATGTACTGGAATGTTTTGAGGAAAAGAAAGAACAAAAAAAGTGATATATATAAATAAAATCAGCGATTCAATGTTAGCCTTGGGACAGTAACTTTAATTCCCTGGTTTCTAAAATCAGCTTTTTAAAAAAAAATAATAATAAAGTATGTAACGTCGATACCAAACCGATTATTAAGCGATAATAACTGAGTAGTTGATTCCTGGGTTGCAGAGTCATTCAGATGTTCCAGTCTTCGAATGTGGTTCTTGTTCAGTTCTTGACCAGAAGTGTCTAATGAAGTAAGTCAGACAAGCAAACTCTTCCTTAAATGCTAATATAAGTCGTCTCAATCCCAAAAATTATGAATGATGACCCAGTGTAAAAGTGCAGAAATCGGTCGAAAATAACAAAGACTAAAAACAGTTAAAAAGTGAAAGGATTCAAACACAAGGAAAATTAATAACTTAGAGCGTAATAAGTAATATCTCCAAACGGAGTTTTCTGAGAGGATGAGAGGTTCTTTAATTAGAGCTAATGATTAAATGAGACCCACTAAAGGTACTAAATTAACCGGACTGCTAGCAAGGAATCGAGAGTGGGAATAAAACTAAAAGCGGAATAAATTTTGAGATAATGAAACAGAAACTGAAAGCTAAAATATATATCGTTCTAGAATGCCTCCGCAAACTATTGCTCCTTTGTAATGTGCACGTGTGAGAGGTTCTTTAATTAGAGCTAATGATTAAATGAGACCCACTAAAGGTACTAAATTAACCGGACTGCTAGCAAGGAATCGAGAGTGGGAATAAAACTAAAAGCGGAATAAATTTTGAGATAATGAAACAGAAACTGAAAGCTAAAATATATACCGTTCTAGAATGCCTCCGCAAACTATTGCTCCTTTGTAATGTGCACGTGTGAGAGGTTCTTTAATTAGAGCTAATGATTAAATGAGACCCACTAAAGGTACTAAATTAACCGGACTGCTAGCAAGGAATCGAGAGTGGGAATAAAACTAAAAGCGGAATAAATTTTGAGATAATGAAACAGAAACTGAAAGCTAAAATATATACCGTTCTAGAATGCCTCCGCAAACTATTGCTCCTTTGTAATGTGCACGTGTTAGTAAGTGTAGTAAAAAGATAAAAATAATAAAGCTATACAAATGAACGGAGCGGTGAAAATCTGAGAGGGTGAGAGGTTCTTTAATTAGAGCTAATGATTAAATGAGACCCACTTTCTGAGAGGGTGAGAGGTTCTTTAATTAGAGCTAATGATTAAATGAGACCCACTAAAGGTACTAAATTAACCGGACTGCTAGCAAGGAATCGAGAGTGGGAATAAAACTAAAAGCGGAATAAATTTTGAGATAATGAAACAGAAACTGAAAGCTAAAATATATACCGTTCTAGAATGCCTCCGCAAACTATTGCTCCTTTGTAATGTGCACGTGTGAGAGGTTCTTTAATTAGAGCTAATGATTAAATGAGACCCACTAAAGGTACTAAATTAACCGGACTGCTAGCAAGGAATCGAGAGTGGGAATAAAACTAAAAGCGGAATAAATTTTGAGATAATGAAACAGAAACTGAAAGCTAAAATATATACCGTTCTAGAATGCCTCCGCAAACTATTGCTCCTTTGTAATGTGCACGTGTTAGTAAGTGTAGTAAAAAGATAAAAATAATAAAGCTATACAAATGAACGGAGCGGTGAAAATCTGAGAGGGTGAGAGGTTCTTTAATTAGAGCTAATGATTAAATGAGACCCACTTTCTGAGAGGGTGAGAGGTTCTTTAATTAGAGCTAATGATTAAATGAGACCCACTAAAGGTACTAAATTAACCGGACTGCTAGCAAGGAATCGAGAGTGGGAATAAAACTAAAAGCGGAATAAATTTTGAGATAATGAAACAGAAACTGAAAGCTAAAATATATACCGTTCTAGAATGCCTCCGCAAACTATTGCTCCTTTGTAATGTGCACGTGTTAGTAAGTGTAGTAAAAAGATAAAAATAATAAAGCTATACAAATGAACGGAACGGTGAAAATCTGAGAGGGTGAGAGGTTCTTTAATTAGAGCTAATGATTAAATGAGACCCACTTTCTGAGAGGGTGAGAGGTTCTTTAATTAGAGCTAATGATTAAATGAGACCCACTAAAGGTACTAAATTAACCGGACTGCTAGCAAGGAATCGAGAGTGGGAATAAAACTAAAAGCGGAATAAATTTTGAGATAATGAAACAGAAACTGAAAGCTAAAATATATACCGTTCTAGAATGCCTCCGCAAACTATTGCTCCTTTGTAATGTGCACGTGTGAGAGGTTCTTTAATTAGAGCTAATGATTAAATGAGACCCACTAAAGGTACTAAATTAACCGGACTGCTAGCAAGGAATCGAGAGTGGGAATAAAACTAAAAGCGGAATAAATTTTGAGATAATGAAACAGAAACTGAAAGCTAAAATATATACCGTTCTAGAATGCCTCCGCAAACTATTGCTCCTTTGTAATGTGCACGTGTGAGAGGTTCTTTAATTAGAGCTAATGATTAAATGAGACCCACTAAAGGTACTAAATTAACCGGACTGCTAGCAAGGAATCGAGAGTGGGAATAAAACTAAAAGCGGAATAAATTTTGAGATAATGAAACAGAAACTGAAAGCTAAAATATATACCGTTCTAGAATGCCTCCGCAAACTATTGCTCCTTTGTAATGTGCACGTGTTAGTAAGTGTAGTAAAAAGATAAAAATAATAAAGCTATACAAATGAACGGAGCGGTGAAAATCTGAGAGGGTGAGAGGTTCTTTAATTAGAGCTAATGATTAAATGAGACCCACTTTCTGAGAGGGTGAGAGGTTCTTTAATTAGAGCTAATGATTAAATGAGACCCACTAAAGGTACTAAATTAACCGGACTGCTAGCAAGGAATCGAGAGTGGGAATAAAACTAAAAGCGGAATAAATTTTGAGATAATGAAACAGAAACTGAAAGCTAAAATATATACCGTTCTAGAATGCCTCCGCAAACTATTGCTCCTTTGTAATGTGCACGTGTTAGTAAGTGTAGTAAAAAGATAAAAATAATAAAGCTATACAAATGAACGGAACGGTGAAAATCTGAGAGGGTGAGAGGTTCTTTAATTAGAGCTAATGATTAAATGAGACCCACTTTCTGAGAGGGTGAGAGGTTCTTTAATTAGAGCTAATGATTAAATGAGACCCACTAAAGGTACTAAATTAACCGGACTGCTAGCAAGGAATCGAGAGTGGGAATAAAACTAAAAGCGGAATAAATTTTGAGATAATGAAACAGAAACTGAAAGCTAAAATATATACCGTTCTAGAATGCCTCCGCAAACTATTGCTCCTTTGTAATGTGCACGTGTGAGAGGTTCTTTAATTAGAGCTAATGATTAAATGAGACCCACTAAAGGTACTAAATTAACCGGACTGCTAGCAAGGAATCGAGAGTGGGAATAAAACTAAAAGCGGAATAAATTTTGAGATAATGAAACAGAAACTGAAAGCTAAAATATATACCGTTCTAGAATGCCTCCGCAAACTATTGCTCCTTTGTAATGTGCACGTGTGAGAGGTTCTTTAATTAGAGCTAATGATTAAATGAGACCCACTAAAGGTACTAAATTAACCGGACTGCTAGCAAGGAATCGAGAGTGGGAATAAAACTAAAAGCGGAATAAATTTTGAGATAATGAAACAGAAACTGAAAGCTAAAATATATACCGTTCTAGAATGCCTCCGCAAACTATTGCTCCTTTGTAATGTGCACGTGTTAGTAAGTGTAGTAAAAAGATAAAAATAATAAAGCTATACAAATGAACGGAGCGGTGAAAATCTGAGAGGGTGAGAGGTTCTTTAATTAGAGCTAATGATTAAATGAGACCCACTTTCTGAGAGGGTGAGAGGTTCTTTAATTAGAGCTAATGATTAAATGAGACCCACTAAAGGTACTAAATTAACCGGACTGCTAGCAAGGAATCGAGAGTGGGAATAAAACTAAAAGCGGAATAAATTTTGAGATAATGAAACAGAAACTGAAAGCTAAAATATATACCGTTCTAGAATGCCTCCGCAAACTATTGCTCCTTTGTAATGTGCACGTGTGAGAGGTTCTTTAATTAGAGCTAATGATTAAATGAGACCCACTAAAGGTACTAAATTAACCGGACTGCTAGCAAGGAATCGAGAGTGGGAATAAAACTAAAAGCGGAATAAATTTTGAGATAATGAAACAGAAACTGAAAGCTAAAATATATACCGTTCTAGAATGCCTCCGCAAACTATTGCTCCTTTGTAATGTGCACGTGTGAGAGGTTCTTTAATTAGAGCTAATGATTAAATGAGACCCACTAAAGGTACTAAATTAACCGGACTGCTAGCAAGGAATCGAGAGTGGGAATAAAACTAAAAGCGGAATAAATTTTGAGATAATGAAACAGAAACTGAAAGCTAAAATATATACCGTTCTAGAATGCCTCCGCAAACTATTGCTCCTTTGTAATGTGCACGTGTGAGAGGTTCTTTAATTAGAGCTAATGATTAAATGAGACCCACTAAAGGTACTAAATTAACCGGACTGCTAGCAAGGAATCGAGAGTGGGAATAAAACTAAAAGCGGAATAAATTTTGAGATAATGAAACAGAAACTGAAAGCTAAAATATATACCGTTCTAGAATGCCTCCGCAAACTATTGCTCCTTTGTAATGTGCACGTGTTAGTAAGTGTAGTAAAAAGATAAAAATAATAAAGCTATACAAATGAACGGAGCGGTGAAAATCTGAGAGGGTGAGAGGTTCTTTAATTAGAGCTAATGATTAAATGAGACCCACTTTCTGAGAGGGTGAGAGGTTCTTTAATTAGAGCTAATGATTAAATGAGACCCACTAAAGGTACTAAATTAACCGGACTGCTAGCAAGGAATCGAGAGTGGGAATAAAACTAAAAGCGGAATAAATTTTGAGATAATGAAACAGAAACTGAAAGCTAAAATATATACCGTTCTAGAATGCCTCCGCAAACTATTGCTCCTTTGTAATGTGCACGTGTTAGTAAGTGTAGTAAAAAGATAAAAATAATAAAGCTATACAAATGAACGGAACGGTGAAAATCTGAGAGGGTGAGAGGTTCTTTAATTAGAGCTAATGATTAAATGAGACCCACTTTCTGAGAGGGTGAGAGGTTCTTTAATTAGAGCTAATGATTAAATGAGACCCACTAAAGGTACTAAATTAACCGGACTGCTAGCAAGGAATCGAGAGTGGGAATAAAACTAAAAGCGGAATAAATTTTGAGATAATGAAACAGAAACTGAAAGCTAAAATATATACCGTTCTAGAATGCCTCCGCAAACTATTGCTCCTTTGTAATGTGCACGTGTGAGAGGTTCTTTAATTAGAGCTAATGATTAAATGAGACCCACTAAAGGTACTAAATTAACCGGACTGCTAGCAAGGAATCGAGAGTGGGAATAAAACTAAAAGCGGAATAAATTTTGAGATAATGAAACAGAAACTGAAAGCTAAAATATATACCGTTCTAGAATGCCTCCGCAAACTATTGCTCCTTTGTAATGTGCACGTGTGAGAGGTTCTTTAATTAGAGCTAATGATTAAATGAGACCCACTAAAGGTACTAAATTAACCGGACTGCTAGCAAGGAATCGAGAGTGGGAATAAAACTAAAAGCGGAATAAATTTTGAGATAATGAAACAGAAACTGAAAGCTAAAATATATACCGTTCTAGAATGCCTCCGCAAACTATTGCTCCTTTGTAATGTGCACGTGTTAGTAAGTGTAGTAAAAAGATAAAAATAATAAAGCTATACAAATGAACGGAGCGGTGAAAATCTGAGAGGGTGAGAGGTTCTTTAATTAGAGCTAATGATTAAATGAGACCCACTTTCTGAGAGGGTGAGAGGTTCTTTAATTAGAGCTAATGATTAAATGAGACCCACTAAAGGTACTAAATTAACCGGACTGCTAGCAAGGAATCGAGAGTGGGAATAAAACTAAAAGCGGAATAAATTTTGAGATAATGAAACAGAAACTGAAAGCTAAAATATATACCGTTCTAGAATGCCTCCGCAAACTATTGCTCCTTTGTAATGTGCACGTGTTAGTAAGTGTAGTAAAAAGATAAAAATAATAAAGCTATACAAATGAACGGAACGGTGAAAATCTGAGAGGGTGAGAGGTTCTTTAATTAGAGCTAATGATTAAATGAGACCCACTTTCTGAGAGGGTGAGAGGTTCTTTAATTAGAGCTAATGATTAAATGAGACCCACTAAAGGTACTAAATTAACCGGACTGCTAGCAAGGAATCGAGAGTGGGAATAAAACTAAAAGCGGAATAAATTTTGAGATAATGAAACAGAAACTGAAAGCTAAAATATATACCGTTCTAGAATGCCTCCGCAAACTATTGCTCCTTTGTAATGTGCACGTGTGAGAGGTTCTTTAATTAGAGCTAATGATTAAATGAGACCCACTAAAGGTACTAAATTAACCGGACTGCTAGCAAGGAATCGAGAGTGGGAATAAAACTAAAAGCGGAATAAATTTTGAGATAATGAAACAGAAACTGAAAGCTAAAATATATACCGTTCTAGAATGCCTCCGCAAACTATTGCTCCTTTGTAATGTGCACGTGTGAGAGGTTCTTTAATTAGAGCTAATGATTAAATGAGACCCACTAAAGGTACTAAATTAACCGGACTGCTAGCAAGGAATCGAGAGTGGGAATAAAACTAAAAGCGGAATAAATTTTGAGATAATGAAACAGAAACTGAAAGCTAAAATATATACCGTTCTAGAATGCCTCCGCAAACTATTGCTCCTTTGTAATGTGCACGTGTGAGAGGTTCTTTAATTAGAGCTAATGATTAAATGAGACCCACTAAAGGTACTAAATTAACCGGACTGCTAGCAAGGAATCGAGAGTGGGAATAAAACTAAAAGCGGAATAAATTTTGAGATAATGAAACAGAAACTGAAAGCTAAAATATATACCGTTCTAGAATGCCTCCGCAAACTATTGCTCCTTTGTAATGTGCACGTGTTAGTAAGTGTAGTAAAAAGATAAAAATAATAAAGCTATACAAATGAACGGAGCGGTGAAAATCTGAGAGGGTGAGAGGTTCTTTAATTAGAGCTAATGATTAAATGAGACCCACTTTCTGAGAGGGTGAGAGGTTCTTTAATTAGAGCTAATGATTAAATGAGACCCACTTTCTGAGAGGGTGAGAGGTTCTTTAATTAGAGCTAATGATTAAATGAGACCCACTAAAGGTACTAAATTAACCGGACTGCTAGCAAGGAATCGAGAGTGGGAATAAAACTAAAAGCGGAATAAATTTTGAGATAATGAAACAGAAACTGAAAGCTAAAATATATACCGTTCTAGAATGCCTCCGCAAACTATTGCTCCTTTGTAATGTGCACGTGTTAGTAAGTGTAGTAAAAAGATAAAAATAATAAAGCTATACAAATGAACGGAGCGGTGAAAATCTGAGAGGGTGAGAGGTTCTTTAATTAGAGCTAATGATTAAATGAGACCCACTTTCTGAGAGGGTGAGAGGTTCTTTAATTAGAGCTAATGATTAAATGAGACCCACTAAAGGTACTAAATTAACCGGACTGCTAGCAAGGAATCGAGAGTGGGAATAAAACTAAAAGCGGAATAAATTTTGAGATAATGAAACAGAAACTGAAAGCTAAAATATATACCGTTCTAGAATGCCTCCGCAAACTATTGCTCCTTTGTAATGTGCACGTGTTAGTAAGTGTAGTAAAAAGATAAAAATAATAAAGCTATACAAATGAACGGAACGGTGAAAATCTGAGAGGGTGAGAGGTTCTTTAATTAGAGCTAATGATTAAATGAGACCCACTTTCTGAGAGGGTGAGAGGTTCTTTAATTAGAGCTAATGATTAAATGAGACCCACTAAAGGTACTAAATTAACCGGACTGCTAGCAAGGAATCGAGAGTGGGAATAAAACTAAAAGCGGAATAAATTTTGAGATCGATATTTTTCTTACGTCACTACTCATTCTTATATTCTTGGCAGCGAAATTCCAGTAAATGTAAGCGCGCGCGAACGCCGAATCAAGTTATACCATATAAACTTTTTCGTGTGTGCTAAGTTTCAGCGCGCATAAAGATCGTTTAACTGTCAGGTCGCGCGTATTAAGGTTTGTAGTTCATAGTTACCATAGCAACGAGATAGTAACCGATAGTTCATCTGGCAAATTGATCCATTCAGGGACGTTATTAGGCATTATTGACCAAGATGTCTAATGAAAACCAATATTCGATGTAATAAATGTCTTGAAATGAGGAGCGAACATATTTCGATCGAATGATGAGAAAATGTGAAGCAAGAAATCGGGACTTGTCTATTGGTCTCCATTGAATAACTCGCATAAATTGTATTTTAGACATACCTGAAATGTATAAGGATTTTTGCCCAATATAGACATAAATTCGCCACTAGTTATTATCTCCTCCTTAACTCCTATCAACCTGTAAAGATTTGGCAAAATTGTATCATTTCATGACTTGTATCACCACAGGTGAAGGACAGCACTGTTCCAGTAAATACTTGTTTATATGGACCAGCTGATGCTGTGTTCACAAACCTGCTCACCGAGGTTGCTGCTAATTCTGGGGGAAGGTATGTTGACATCACAAATGTGGCAGGGCATTTACTTTATTTTCTCCCTTGGTGTTCTTTTTATATATATTTTAGGGAGCAGCTATAGAATCGACTTATATCACTAATCTTATAAATACTACATAACTATTTTGCAAGGAGAGTTTTCTAAAATATGTACTTCCCTTTGTCGTATTAAATCATGATTGGTACAATATCCACCATCGGCTCACCTAATTAGCATTTACTAATTTCACCGTCTGCCGTAACAATACTATTATAAACCTCTTGGACAACTGAATAACGTTACACTGTTTATTTGGTTAATGTTTCAGATGGCACAGATACACTGAGTTGGAAACACAAAGTAAAGGCGCGGCAAAGTTAAGAGATGAACTGAACAAAGCAAGAGATGTTCTAGCCGAAGTTTCTGCTCTAAGACTTGAAATACAACTTAAAAACGGTAAACGTTTTTAAACGCTTATGATTTTAAAATATCATATTATCTGAAGCTTTACTGCGTTATAAGTAAAATATTGTGTTCGTTAACATAAATATTTCAGAGCCGAAACTGCCACAACTTCCGCCCAAATCACCCGAGAAATCAGAAAAAGATATGACATCGGCCGAGTGGTTGAACCAACACGGATTAAAGTGTGCCAATGCCAGGTTTTACGATGCCCTGACAGCCCAAGCGTTTAGACATTGTGATAAAGTAATGAAGATAGGGGACTCAGATAAATTAGTTAACGCCAAATACTGCCAGAAGTTTGCACACGTCAAGTGAGTAGAGCATAGGTTGCTTAAAAGTTGGGGGTGAGACATTTGTGATGATTTAAAATGTCAAGCCATTTCTACGGTCATGTAGGTAAGTAGATTAATAGATTAACTTATATAAGATACTTGAAGATCTAAAGTTACAAAAATTTACAGGTGGTGGGATGGTTCTATAAAGCATGTGATTATCAACCAAAACTTTTTTGAGAAGTACAAAACAAAGATCGAGAATATTGTATCAACGATCGACAGAAGGTAATCATTCCTACTTTCTGTTACACCAGAACATTTTCCCTGGTTGTTTTCAAATAGTACTCTAATCTCTATTATATGTAGAAATTCAGTTATCAGTTTTGTAAACATTTTTCACGTAGAACTAGAATTTTCGCTAACTTCTGATTCATCTTTTTCCCAGAATAAACTGGGTGGAGCAAAGCAGTAAGACTTTGTTTGGAACCCTACTGGAAGACAACGTGTGTATTCTCCTGGACACTAGCCACAGTATGGAGCCGCATCTTCCACAGCTCAAGAAACGGTATCATAGTAAAGCAACTGTTTTGTGCACCAATAGTTTTATAAATATTTTGGTTTTAAAATGAGCGGTTTGATAGTTTGTGTTAACTTCATGGCTGTTCTGTGCTAGTTTAACATCTAGATTGTAACCTAAAAACTAACCCACGATGCTTTCAGTTTAGAAAAGTTGATAACAGAACAACTTAGACACAAGGAGAAGTTTACTTTGGCTTCATTCGGTAGTGAGATCAGACACTTCAGTGAATCTCTTGTCAAGTAATTCTAATTCACTATCATCATTCACTATCATCAAGTTTTCCATTATTTATTTCCGTAAGCAAATATAAATGTGGCAGTAACAGTCTGAATTAGTAACCAATTAGTAACCAATTAGTAACCACCATGAATTAGTAACCACCACGAATAACTCTCAATATCACAGGGTATCACCAGAGAACCTGCAGGCGGCCTGGAAGTGGTGCAGTACTCTGCAGTGCACTGGTTCCACCAACACTCTGGATGCTCTCAAGTTCGGGCTCAGTGTTACAGATGTTCACGGAGTTTACTTACTTACTGACGGCAGTCCTGACTTGGTTTGTTAGTTTGTTTGTTAGTTTGTTTGTTTTTAGGGATTGCAATAACAATTATTGTGCAATGAACATGGTCTATCGACCAGGAATCTGTCATATATGGAGCATCTCCTTCAAAATGCCACTTTATGATAAACAGACGGAATTGAGAAATGGAAAAATTGATATATAGTACAATTTGAATTTGTAATTTGTCGCCACAATTGCTTCACAGCTCTCTTGGATGTGGTCTCATTTCAATCGATAAGTTGAGTATCTTTTGTAACAAATAGACGATTTGTTCTGATGCTAATAATTTAAAAGAAATGATAAAATAAAGCACTCTGATGTCTTGACCTATAAATACTCTTCAGCCGGAGAATATGATCCTGAGTCAGATCAAGTTGTACAAGGAAGTACCCATCCACACAATATCGTTTAACTGTAACGACAGAGCCGCTAATGAGTTCTTGTGTACCCTGGCTCAGGAGACCGCTGCTAGGTAACCAACTTGGTAACCATTAGTAACTATTAGTAACCACTAACCATTAGTAACCATTAGTAACCATTAGTAACCAGCCACGTGATCCATCTCACTCATTAGTCATCAGAAGATATCCTCACTCATCACTCAGCTCATCAAAGACGATATCGACACAGAAATATATCAACCACCAATAACTGTCCACGTCAGTATTACACGCTTCACGCTTCACCTTTTTGAATTTTTTGATCCTTCATATCCATCACATTATATATGACTCCTTATTATATTGGTAAGTCTATAAAATTAGAGCAATAGTTAACAGACCTCCACAGGTTCCACGTGGTTCGCAGTGACAGATCTACTGATTACAACGGGCCGGACCCCTACGAATCAAACGACATCAAACTCCTAAAACTTGAAATAGAATCAGCAGAGCTGGACGTCAAGAAGATGACTGAACTGCGTGCAGAGTGTGAGATCCTGGAGTGGAAATGTGTCCGGAAACCGCCCACTAAATCAGGGAATAATCCAGAAAAGTCTAGAAAGCGGAAGAACGTGAAGAAGCCCGCTGACCTGAGTGACACAGAGAGTGTCATGTCGGGTAAGGGAGTGTTCAGTGCCAGGAAGTGGCTCGCTAAGTACGGACTTGTTGCTCAGAAGCTCACTATCATGGACGCGCTGGCTCCGACCGTCATCACACAACACCCTAAATACGTGGGGGTCCTCAAGAAGAAAGTTCATGCTAAGGTAAGGGGAGTGAATACTGAATAGGTTTTAGTTATCAAACTGTTATTTTACTGTAACTGTTACACTGTGTAACACGACTAAAAAAGAAACCGATACGAAGTCAGCATTTGCTTTAAAGTTCATGAAGCTTGTACTGAATATTTCCGATTAACAGTTACATTGTCAGGTGTTTGATGGGGTTATGCCCTTCGCGTTTCTGAGCCCTGAAGATAAAGATAGAGTTAGTTTTGTTAACCCTGCCGGGGTGGACCTAATAGCCTACGAAACTAAGGTATGTTTGTTTGTTTGGGGACCGGTTTTTGGTACCCGGCCAAAGTTTACAAAATAATATAATACATAACAATATAATTTTATTTAATATGCGTGAATATGAAAATTGAAAATGTTGATTACGTTTATTCATTAAAAACAAAAACAGAAACTTTAAAAATTAAAACTTGCATATCATGATTTATTAACATAGTGACAAATAATTTGATTTGATACGACAGATGATCACACGCACTGTTTTATAAGCTACTTGTGTCAGATTAATGATTAGTGGGCAGTGCAGAGTCGATGGTATAGTACTCTGTATCAGTATAGTGCTCCTGATTGAGGTTAAAACAAAAAATAATAACTGAGCCCATGTCTTATCAGCACCTGCTAGCGCTATCTATATGATGCTATCAATATGACAGTGAATGGGCAGTGAAAAAAGTGGCATATGGTTGATAGTGACTAGTGTGCTAACCGTCTGGTTTTATTTATTCCTTAGTTTATTCTCGGTAGTTGATTTGTTGTGTGCCTGATCTTGTCGATTTACGTAGCATAACTGCTCGTATTCCCTGCTTTTGTTTAGTGAACAGTGATTCAATATGGGATTTTGCAGCAAAGCCCCAAACTAGCGAACAGAAATTTAAATGAGATTGTACAAAACTTTGGAAGATCTGTAAGCGTGCTTTGATTGGTAATTTGCGTTTTATTTTGAACATAATACCTATAAACCGTGACATTTTTGTTTTGACGGCTCGGATGTGGCTGGCCCATTTTAGTTTGTCGTCGACGATAACTCCTAAAAACCTGGCCTCCGTTTTGCGTTCTATAGGAGAGTTGTCGATACTTACTTGTAGAGACGATAGATCTACCCGTCTTTTTGAAAATACCATATAGCAAGTCTTCTTCAGATTAAGAGCTAGGCCGTTCGAGCTAACCCATTTTATCAACACGTCAGTGAGGTGGTTTACTTTGGATATAATGTCTTGTACATTTGATCCGGTGATAATAATGTTTGCGTCGTCTGCGTATAATATAAATTTAGCTAGGTTACTGATTCCTGGTAAGTCATTGATATATATGACAAAGAGCAGGGGGCCTAATATGCTCCCTTGTGGAACACCGTATATCATAGATTCTAATGATGAATTGGAGCCGTTTAGGGAAACAAATTGACTGCGACCACTGAGGTATGACTCGAACCATTTCAACGCAATGCCACGAATACCGTAATGCTCAAGTTTCCTGAGTAATGTCGCGTGATCTAGGACGTCAAATGCCTTGCTATAGTCTAAAAGTAATAAAAGTGCTATTTGGTTCTTATTTAGAGAATGCAGAATAGAGCTCTGAGCATTGAGAAGTGCGTGCTCACATGATCTTCCTGGTCGGAATCCGTACTGATTCTCGAATAGAGAGTTATTCTTGTCGAAAAATTCTAAAACGCGTCTGTGCATTAGTTTTTCATGAATTTTTGAGAACGAGCCCAGAAGCGAAATAGGTCTATAATTCGCTACGTCGAGTTTACAACCTCCTTTGTGTATAGGTGTAACTTTTGCCGTTTTCAAAGCTTTAGGGAAAGCTCCCTCTACAAAAGATGTGTTAACTACTTTTGCTAAGGCGCATACAAAATTTTGGCATGTGCTGGCTATTTTCAAAGGCTCAATCTTTGAATCGAGAGTTGCCTTATTTTTTAGGCCAATAGTAATTCTATGAATCTCGGTGGGCCCAGTAGGTTCGAGGTAGATAGACGTTGGACATGACCCGGTCAGATACTCCTGGAACCCCCCAGGATCGAAGGTCTGTCGGGAACTGATCTGAGACTTGATGTTGGCTGCGATGCTGGAAAAGTAGCCATTGAACTTTTCAGCGACTGCCGAGTTAGTGCTCAAGATCGTCCCGTCAGTATCCCTCAATCTGATTTGATCAGATCCCCGTCTTTTTCTGTTTAGCAGGCCGTTGATTATCTCCCATTGTTTTTTGGAACAGTCCTGATATTTTTCAAATTGTTTTTTGTAATACCGCTCCTTGGCAATGTTAACGTGTTTACTGCAAAATAGTTTCATTTTATCGTATGCAGCTATGTTTTCATCTGTAGGCTCTGTGATATTAAGATGGTATAATTGCTGTTTACGTGCACAAGCTGTTTCGAGCCATTGAAGTATCCACGGCTTCGGATCAGACCGTTCATTTTCACGACGATTACGATTACTCTTAACGGGGTATGCAGTGTTGTAATGTTTCATGTATTCTATCATTTCTTAAATATCTTATCTTATCTTACGATAAGGTTCTGCACCAATTCTTAATGGTATTCGCATAGTTAACTTCATCAATCAACTAAACGACCTAACAACAATATGTTCACTATGAACAAACCTTCAAACTTGCTCTGTCAGGTAAAGGGGGCTGTGGCGCTGTATGACAACAAGATTGCAGGGGTGGTCTGGCGGAAACTAAAAGAGGAGGAGAAGAAGAAGTTTCTAGGTCTTGACGAGGGGGAAATACCGGGATTCACTGAAAATGGGGCTCTTTTCAGGTATGGTTTTTACTGAGGGACATATCACTCTCTGAGATAGATAGTAGTAGTGTTCACGTAGTAGGGTTGCGAGGACTGATTTTTACATAAATAGTTCAGTTTTGTTAGAAAATTAGGTCAGGAAATTGGGTGTTAATTAGGTAACCTTTTAATACAATCATTTATAGTATAATTTGTTATTATATGGTATAATTTGCTCGCACAAAGTAATGAAACTTGCCATCATATCAGGAGTATCCTAGAGAAAGCAGGATGGCCTGTATCCCAGAAAACAGTAAAGTTAGTGTCAGATGAGATCGAACTAGGAGAGTTGTATCTTACACAAAGTGCTCAGCTCAGAGAGCACATGGCCAAGTCTGCTGACAAGTGAGTTATAATATTTAGTGCTAAGTTTATTGCTCACTTATCTACACTTTCGAACTGATAACGATCACCGCGGTTGTGTTGTATTTAACCTTTTTTGTGGATGAAATACATTTTACATCTCAATCTTTGTAATATTCCCACGGTGGAGGAGGCAGACTGATACCAGTTGTCATCTCCTTTTAGATATATTTAAATAATATTTAGTGTTCAATTTTTTCCCGATCCATGACTCAAAGTGCCGAAGGCACAAAAGAGTCAAGGACAAGGGTTAGCGAACGAGGTTTTTTTGTATATGGTAGCTTTGCGACCGTACCTGCGAGCGTGCGAGCGTGCGACCGTACCTGCCTGCACACACTGTAATCGCCTACGTGACTACCTGCGCAAAGTTATTTTGCGGAATAATCCGAATTAGCTAATTGTTGGCGCGCGGCGCTGAACTGACCAAGTACATTGTTAATTTCACCATGTACATATCCCACTAGGCACTAATTGATAGCATACTATTATTTTGAGTTACTTATACTATTTTGCACACATCCGTGTCGGGTGTCAGGTTGCATAAACAATAAGCATATGGTTTTTAAAAATATACACGATTTTCAAATTCAATATGGAATTATATTAACTTGGTGGCGCTCGGCCTGTCACTTCGCCATATCTGCATACTTATAAACAGTAAAAACTGGGGTCCCCAGGTTGTATAGAAAATGATAAAATACGCCATCACGGATCGGGAAATTGAGCGGCCATGCACAAAAAAAGCGGCCGCATTTCTTGTTTGCTCACTTATCTACACTTTCGAACTGATAACGATCACCGCGGTTGTGTTGTATTTAACCTTTTTTGTGGATGAAATACATTTTACATCTCAATCTTTGTAATATTCCGGAGGAGGCAGACTTATACCAGTTGTCATCTCCTTTTAGATATATTTGGTCTGATGACTACTCACAATATTATTGGTTGACAGTTTAATTCCAATCCAACTCACCTAATTCCTTTACCCGTAGAGATAAATCTGGTGGTACAGCGCCAGGAGAGAGGAGGAATAGTGCTGGTTCTGTTAAATCAGATAGTTACCTGCTGGGTTACAGGGTAGTCGCGCAGAATAATGTGGACGGCTTCTACTACCCAGGTATTTTAAATATTTACAGTAACTAGGTAACTAGGTAACTAGGTAACCAGTAGGTATTTTAAATATTTACAGTAACTAGGTACTACTACTATACAACTACTAGGTAACTAGTAGGTATTTCAAATATTTAGTTAATATCATGAGATCGTTGGCAAGATTTGAGGTTTACGAAGTGGATTTAAAGCATTCACATTGCATTAAGATTGATTATTTTCTTATCATAAACTACACTTGAAAACATTTCCCGCCACACGTTTCAGGTAAGCGTAGGTTTTAGTAACGGCTGCATCCACAGTTTTAAACGCTATATTTTTAAGTACTTGCACTAAAGTTTAATACTAAAACATCAGTTTTCTTTACTTAACGCCAAAATACTGGGAAATATGTGATGTTTTTGATGTACGATTAGTAATTAACAGTTAATTATTAAAGTAACGACTTCTACATTTAACTAGTAGCGTGGATATGTAAGTGTATATCTGTACAGGTACGGTGATAGGGAACAGAGGTCGAACTAAGTGTGAAGTAGAGTTTGATGACTTTGACCGGCAGATCGTGTTCGTCAACAACTTGATACCTACACAGGGATCAACGTCCAGACCTAAAGTTAAGGTACAGTAAACACTGTGTTTTTCATTGTATTTTTATCAGACCAACAAGATGTTATTTAAAAAGAGACTTGTTAAATGTTAATGAGTCAATATTGTCTACTGATGGGCTCTATGATGACCAGTGCGTACAGCAACACAAATATGCTATTTGTTCTTTGGAAGATTAAAACAATTAGTTATGCACAAAATATGTCACAAGTTTGCAGTTATATTATTCAAGGTATCGTTAGCGGGAGCATGGAGGGGCCTTTTTCTCATTTTGCAGTTTTTCCCAGATAAGATTTTAGCTTCGATTTCAAACTCATCGTTTAATATTAAAACAAGGTTATTATTTATAAAGAAGATATCATTAAACAAAGAATAACATTACTATTTACTAACGATAAAACCTACGTAATCTACTACTAATGATACAGCAAAAAAGATGTACAATAAAAATCAGGCTCTGCCCCATTCACGACTCGGTAAAAACAAGATTCACATTCAGTCACACCCATCAGCACTGATGACTATTAACGACCAAAAGAGGAGGTGAGGTTAGAAAGTAACAACCTTGCGTGAGTCTGTAGAGTATGTTTCAGTAACCATGGTAACTGGGTTACTAGGTAACTTGGTAACTAGGTTACCAGTAGGTTACATTAACTTGGTTCAGAGGAGGGATTTGTTAGTTGGGTTGGAGAGGAATGTGTTTAGAAGAGTCTTGCAATGAAAGGGAGAGCAACCATCAGTCCAACAGTATGGGATACGGCACCTGAAATAGTTTGGGTAACGGCACCTCATATTTGTTATTTGCACGTTGTTTTGTTCTTTATACTTGTTGTATAATGTATAGTGTATAATATGCTGCTAATACTTCGTAACATAGCGAGATCTTATCGGGGAGGCGTTGATATTATCATAAACAGTTTTGCAATAAGATATTTATGTACATCTTTATTTAAGACATTTATATAACTTAATCTTGAGGAGTGGTTATAGTTTTGAATAAAGCACAAGTAAAATACGTACCATCAGTTTTGTCACCTTCCTCATCAGTAGTTTCATCAGCTGATTCTTCTGTAAGGGATAACACCGTCAACATAATGCAATAATAGGACTCGTGTACTTATGTTTGAACGTATTTAATGATGTTTGAAACATTTACTATATTATTCAGTTGGGAAAATCGATATGAATTGTTAATAAAGAGTTATACAAGTTGAATACGCACCACTACTGCTGTCATCACCGGTGTCTTCTTCAGAGTCATCAACGGTTTCTTCAGCAGGGACATCTGCGTTATCGACATCTGCGTCACCTTCAGCGTCACCCTCTGTTGGAATAAATTGACAGTTAAATTAAGACCTTATTACGGCCTCTGCAGGTGGGAAGCAGGTAAGGCCTTATTACGGACTCTGCAGGTGGGAAGCAGGTAAGGCCTTATTACGGACTCTGCAGGTGGGAAGCAGGTAAGGCCTTATTACGGACTCTGCAGGTGGGAAGCAGGTAAGGCCTTATTACGGACTCTGCAGGTGGGAAGCAGGTAAAGCCTTATTACGGACTCTGCAGGTGGGAAGCAGGTAAGGCATGTTGTTCACACGTGATCACGTGATCATTGGCTCTGGGGTTTCAGACAATATGTTTATTGCTGCTATGTGTCAATAAAATATGCCCTCCCTACCCACCAGGATCCACATCTATAACGTACATATTGATACGTGATTAATGAATCCATTTTCCTAGAATTTGGATCATAATGAGGATGCACATTTTTCTGCATCAGGTTGCGAGTACATGCAAAAATTGGAATTGTTTAACCAAGGCGAAATTTTATATGCTCGCTTTAATTAAGTGGTTTCGCCATTCCATTTAGCAAACAATTACGTTATCTTTAAGTAATAATAAAACATAATGATACTAATAATACAACATACTAAAACAGTGATGGTTAACTAACCTTGAGCGAATGTGAGGGCGAACACGGCAAAGAGTGAAAGGATAAGAGTCAGCTTCATCTTGTAGATTGTAGTAGTGAGACTTGCTACAGAGGATATAGTGAGTTACTGATATTGTTATCTGACAAATACTCGAGCAATACTAAACTTCGAGTGTATCTGCGCTAAAGTTTCTACATTAATTTTGGCGCTATTTTTAGCTAGAAAAACGAAATAAAGCATCTAAATTGGTCGGAGAGGACAAGCTCGCTGCAGATGAGGCACACACAACGACGGTAAAATTATAATGAGTTCGTTGTCCTGATGTAGTCCGCAAAGGAAAAGTGAAAGTGAAACAGTTCGAACAATTACTCCCTCTCAAATAGTCTGATTGCTGAAACTACCGTCTCGCTTTCTACTGCTCGTTTCCTTTAGATCATTAGCGCAACGTGCGGCAACCTTTACCCACATGGTACCTTCCTGCGACCAGACCATGTCATGTGGGATCACCTGACTGTCAGATCATGTAGTCACATGCTCCTAATTCTGAATCACTTTCTTTTTCCGCCATAAGCCTCGAGCACGTGCTCGTCACAGGGTCGTGTGGCAACGATTTGCTAATAACATAATTATTCCGTTGTTATAGGTACTGCAAGAGGATAACAATATTTTGGCTGGTGACAAGCCAGCTACCGAGTATAATGAAAGTGAAACCAAGAGAGATTCTCCCGACGCTGCTAATGAACGCAAATAAGAGGTTCCGGCAGCCTCTGAATAGGCTTAATTCGCGATTGTAATCAAAAGGAAGATATTTTATTGCCCGGGTAGAGCCAACAAGAATACCAGAGGTAATACCGGAGAGTAATTATTTGACCGGGAAATTAGCCTTTAATCAGTCTTCCTCCGACAATGCAACTGTTGTTCACATTTCACATTTCACAATATAATACATATGTCTAGTCATTCAATAAACAAATGAATCGGTTTCTGTTATAATATGGCTGATTTGGTTGTAAGCGGAACAATGGACCTGGTATAGAGCAGGAAATTGAGGGTCAAATTCATATTTACGGACTCCGCAATTCTGGTCGGGACTCGGGAGGTAAGGAATATTGTTTGAGGGTTTAATTGGTTAATAGTGGAGGCCAATTGACTTATTGCTGTTACGTGTTAACAAACTATGCCCACCAGAATACAGCTGTGTCATATTAAAACGGAACTGCTACATACACAAAGTAGCTACCAAATAGGAACCCTAACCATAGAATATCTTACAGTTAAATAATCTCCATATACGAATGAGATGGATTATAGAGATGGATTTTACTGATTAAACAGATCTGTTAAAGATCTGTGCGCATTCCTGGCATTAATCTCACGAATTATATATTTTTTGTACTCTACAACCCCGTACAAATGCCACAAATCCTTAATCAGTAATTATAATCTCTTGTTATAAATAACGATATTATATATTTTGATAATTGGAAGTTTTTGTTATCTTTAAATTAACTATATCTAAATATCAAATTAATAAAATATGTTACTAATAAAATATGTTTTATAAATTGTGTTTATAATTATAGTACATTGTTATTATATTTATATTTTAGGCTGTAACCTTATTAGTCCAATGGAATAAACCTAGCATGCCTTGGTTGCAGCATCGCTTCACTTATAGGTGCATATAGTGCCCGATGTAATTGCTATGACCAGTTTACTGGTCAACTGGTGTTTCAGTGTCCCTAATTTTGTTTACACTCGGTCACTTGTCAAGGCATGTAAGGTCATTCGGCGAATTTTTTTTGAAATAAAATGATGTATTTCTAAACATTTTGAAAGTTTAATGATTAAATAAAATAGGACACAATAGCATATCGTATGAAAAATCCCTTTTCTGCTCTCTGATTTTTTATAATACAAAGATACAAGTTTTGTATTATAACAAGTTTCAATCGAGACTCCTGGGTATGTTGCAGTTCATTGTCATATAATGGATGATACTTGCAGGCAGGAGACTACGTACTAGTTCAACTAATTCTAAACCATCGAACTGAGGATTCGAAACAGAAACTTCTAGCTCCAGGTCTGGTGGTGAAATCTCCAGAACACAACGGGGACCTCTCTTTTATAATCCTACTTTTCACTGGAGAACGACTCATCGCATCAAGACATGATGTCATCAAGGTCAGAGTGGAAATGCATTGTATATCATTTGCCTTCAATCATTCTAAAATGAAAAGCGTTTTTTAATTGCTCTCAAGCTTCTTTTTTTCCTAATTTTATAATTTCTCTCTAAGTCATTCCTCTAGACTTCTTCCATTACTGACCAATATTATTCTAATGTTCATATTATGTTGCAGATCACGAAAAATCGCTACAATCAGACATCTCAAGCAATCTTCAAGCAAATATCACGCCAAAGGTGCAGTCAGCGACTAAGGCTGGTCGCTGAAGGACAAGAAAGGAATCAAGCAGACGACTCCATGAGCGTGGCCAGCACTTTAGACGAGATTCTCAGATCAAACCTTCTCTTGAACAAACCTTCAAGTGTAACAGAGGACGGGACGAAGTTAGATGATATGCTCAACACTCCGCGTTTGTCCGAGGTAGCGGAGGAAGAACATGATGATACACTAGAGGGGAAATTGAACGATCTTAACATCTCAGATGATGAGCCAAACGCCCTTTATCCCTCACGTGACGTCACACCACGCAATCGTCACGTCACGCAATGTGACGTGGGTGTGGAAACCCAGCAAGAGATGGCAAAGGTGACCCTGGAGTGTGGATTACAGGTCGGCGGGTACGATGTTGATGCTCAAACTCACATCAGCAACGATTTCTGGGAGGATTTAGACAAGATGAAGTACAGTAGCGAGGAGATCATACACCCCTCGGAGATACTCGTAGATAATGAACTTATCCCAGTGCTGCACCAGATAAACATCCCCGTGTTGAAAGTATCAGCTACAACTCCCATACAGACTGATGATATCTTGTCAGTTCCTGATGTTCATGATTTGGCTAAAGATGCTGACACGACACAATCAGTTGTCATGGAAGGAGATGAGCAGCAATCTGTAATTATGGAAGGAAAGGACGATGATGACGTCACGGTGGTGACTGTTGATGCTAGAATAGTTGACGACGATGACGACACACTTTCTTCCTCCTCTTCCTCCTCCTCCTCCTCATCCTTATCATCTAAAAATTCTAAAGGCTTCTTTAGTTCGGATTCAAACTCTGACAAAGAAGAGAAGCCCAAAAAAAAGAAGACTGGCAGAAAGCAAGCAGCGACCATCGCTAAGAATGAAGATTCTAAAACAGTTTTCTCTAAAGGTCTAGTGGTCCTCGCAAGGTGGGGAGATGAAGGGTGGTACTTTAGAGGGAAGGTAGTGAAACCTACTGTAGGTGGTTATCTGGTGGAAGATAACAGTGGTCACAGAGAGGATATAGATAACAAACACATTCTCGTAGACGAACAAGTTAGTTTATCTTACGTACAAATTTAAATGATTGATAAATTGATCGTCTAGCCTCTTAATTCCTGTTCAGTTCATCATAGTTCAGACTCTTAACCGCGCTATTATCCAGGACATAAAAAAGTCGTTAAGTGCTGGGAGTCACGTTGTAGCACTCCATCCTGACTACTCTTTCTCATACGCCCCTGCTAGGGTAACAGGCACTGATGACAACTGGTTCTTTGACCTCAAGTTCTACGATCAAAGCGAGGTTAGGATCGTTTACATCAAAGAAAAGAAGAAAAGGAGTGTACATCAATGAAAGTTATTATATGTTGACGGAAATTTTAAATGACGAAAGTTGGTAGCAGTAGACTAATACAGTTTCTTAGTCTAAGATTGATACATACGAATAAATGTTAAACTCGTCTCATTTCAGGCGGAGGTGCCCAGAGAAGAAATGTATTTCATCTCCGCAGAACAGTACCAGGAGGACGCTAAGTTTATAAGGAATATCGAGGAGGCACTTTTAGGTAACTTTGCAGGATACCTGATATTTTCATAAATCATTCTTAACTTTTCATAATCCGGATGTTGATCACATTAAAATAAATGATTACTGATGGGATAATAGGCCAGTTGGTAGATCACCGACCGGCTATAAGCCGGCTACTAACCGGCTATAAGCCGGCTTATAGCCGGCTACAATTTTTATAGCCGGCTATAAGCCGGCTTATAGCCGGTTAGTAGCCGCTTACATTTGTTGTTGAGCGACGGCTATTAGCCGGTTATAAGCCTGCTATTAGCCGTTTTGGCATTAAAAGTGGTTATAAGCCGGCTATAAGCCGGTTATAAGATATTAACTCAACTACATCGTACTGAACGATAGTCAGGAGCCGGCTATAAGAAATTCAGTGAAAACGGCTATTAGCCGGTTATAAGCCGGCTATTAGCCGTTCAGGTATCGAAAGTGGTTATAAGCCGGCTATAAGCCGGCTATAAGCCGGTTATAAGATATTAACTCAGTTTAGTACGATGAAGTTAAGTTAATATCTTATAGCCGGCTTATAGCCGGCTTATAACCACTTTCGATACCTAAACGGCTAATAGCCGGCTTATAACCGGCTAATAGCCGTTTTCGCTGAATTTCTTATAGCCGGCTCCTGACTATCGTTCAGTACGATGAAGTTGAGTTAATATCTTATAACCGGCTTATAGCCGGCTTATAGCCGGCTTATTTAAACCACTTTCGATACCTAAACGGCTAATAGCCGGCTTATAACCGGCTAATAGCCGTTTTCGCTGAATTTCTTATAGCCGGCTCCTGACTATCGTTCAGTACGATGAAGTTGAGTTAATATCTTATAACCGGCTTATAGCCGGCTTATAGCCGGCTTATAACCACTTTCGATACCTAAACGGCTAATAGCCGGCTTATAACCGGCTAATAGCCGTTTTCACTGAATTTCTTATAGCCGATACCTAAACGGCTAATAGCCGGCTTATAACCGGCTAATAGCCGTCGCTCAACAACAAATGTAAGCGGCTACTAACCGGCTATGGGATACTGAAGGGAAAGGAAGCAGTTCTAACGAGCTCTTCTCAAACACAAGGATATAACTTGTGAACTCGGCTAGTATATATGAAACATTTGTCATGGAGTTGTAGAGGGAGTTATGTGCCTCGCCGGGCTAAAGTAGTAGATGACCTTGCTGTACGGCAAGTTAAACAAGGATCTGAAACTACTAGGTTCCGTACAGACTCAACTCTGCACCCGTGTCAATATGTTCATTATATGCAAGCCTCTTGATTTATAAGCCGGCTTATAGCCGGCTATAAAAATTGTAGCCGGCTATAAGCCGGTTTATAGCCGGCTTATAACCGGCTTATAGCCGGTCGGTGATCTACCAATTTCCCGGATAATATTATTACACGTCGTGATGATCAATTGTTTAGATGTCACAATTTGTTTCTAAAAAACAAACTGTACTTAAAAATTATACATCAAAAGTACCTTTATGCTTTAGATGTGATTGTACTCTAACTGACTACTTGTCAAACATTCCGTCCAATCTGTTGATAAAGGCTCTTTTCCTTACAATTTGGTTCAGGAAGGTGACAAGGGAAAGTACTTCAAATTGAATAAACGGTTAAGAATTGTAAATACAATGTCTCAATGTTCCTCAATATAATATCTCAATAATTCAAATATCCTAGGTCTCTAACTGTAAACTTCAACTGTGAACTTCTGCTGTGTTCAAACCAAAAAGGGTATCCTCCCTTCAATAGTCCCACTCTTAAGTATCCCCAGAAAGTATAAACAATTTTCTACTCTCCCTAGCAATTTATAAACAAATCCTAAACTATCCTCCTAGTAACCAAAACAGAGGTGTTAAACTGAACTCTCTGATAACCAAAACAGAGATGTTAAAATAAACTCTCTGTTCCCTAAAGCTCTCTGCTCTAAACAATTCCTAAACTATCCTCCTCAACTATCCTCCTATAGCCAAAACAGAGGTGTTAAACTGAACTCTCTGATAATCAAAACAGAGATGTTAAAATAAACTCTCTGTTCCCTAAAACTCTCTGCTCTAAACAATTCCTACACTATCCTCCTCAACTATCCTCCTATAGCCAAAACAGAGGTGTTAAACTGAACTCTCTGATAATCAAAACAGAGATGTTAAAATGAACTCTCTGCTCCCCAAAACTTTCTGCTCTAAACAATATCTTAAACTATCTTCCTTGTAACCAAAACAGAGGTGTTAAACTAAACTCTCTGTACTACCCTGCTGTACTAAATGTCGTACACTAATATATGCCCTAAAATACTACCCTAAAATACTGGACAAATACTGACATGCATATAAACTTATAATATAGAAACCAACGTTAATCAAGATTCGAATCTAAACAGTTTCAAGTCCATTTGCCATTAGGGCTCCACATCTCGCGATCTCCTCTGCGCATCCCTTCGGCTTCCCCTCGTATTCTTCTCTCTCCACGGTCCTTTCTTATCAGTCGTCTATCTTTATCATGTCCACCGATTCATTGTAGTAATAAAGTGTTAGACTATGACCAAAATTTTTATTTTGGCAAATGCCAAAATGACCCTACAACATATCCTCCCCACAAAATTGTGAGGAAGTTCTCCGCTGCATTGCAGAGGATAACTTCACAAATTATGAATCAGAGATATCAATTGATATGCAATAAAACGACTGTATCCTCAATTGTACAATTGCACAAATTGTAAAAATAAACGCATACAATTGCATGTGAGTATTAGATTGGTACATCGAGATTATTTCAAAACCATAATCTCCTCATCAGTACACTCAACTCTTCCTCTACCAGTCCATCCGTTATCTCTTCTTCATCCTCCCATAACTCCTTCACTATCCCTGCTAAAGTCCTACATCCCGGGAGAATTCTCCCACTCTATTCTTAATATAGAATTTTATCATCTTCTTCCTCTCCTTTCTGGTGTTATCCTCCCTTTTCCATTCCACCGCTGCTCTTTCTTCCTCCGTTATTCCGTAGCACACATCCTTAGCCGTTAACTCCACCCTTGGTGCCAGTCTATTCAGGACTCGGAGGAAATCCTCTTTGTCCTGAATAAACACTCCCAACTCTGTACTTATTGCTCCTATCTGTTTGGTCCAATTATCTTTACTTTCGGGCAAATCCCCTAAGTATAACCCCCTTTCTCCAATTTGCCTGGGGATTTGAGATAATTGGAGCCTGATGTTTTCTTTCTGCCTTTCTCTGCATCTTTCTTCAGTTTCCTTCAGCATGACTTCCTGCTGTTTCCTCATAATTTCTAATCTTTGTTCTTCCCTCCTACAGTGCTCTTCTTCTTTGATCCTCTTCATTTCTTCTGCTCTTCTCTTCTCTTCTTGTAATTCCATTCTCCTTCTTTCAACTTCCCTCTGTTCGTCGTGCCTGCGCTGTCTGTCCTCTTCTTCTACCGCTCTTCTCTAGACCATCTCTCTTCTTTCTGCCAGGCTTCTCAATCTCTGTCTCTCCACTGCTTCTTCTCTTTCTCGTGCATATATTTCTCTGTATCCTCTGTTTTCTTCGTTCCATCTTTCATTTCCCCTCTGCTTGTCTCGTGCATCATAAGAATGTCTTTCTGGCTGCATTCTCCATCCTTGTTGCCTGCGATGTCTATTTCCTTCTTCTGCCAATCTCCGCTGGACCATCTCTCTTCTCTCTGTCAAGATTCTTCTTCTCTGTCTCTCCGCTTCTTCACGTACATTTCTTTCTCTTCTTCTTCTGTCTTCTTCGTCCCTTCTCTCATTTTTCTGACGTTCTCTCTCCCAGTGAGCAACTCCTCCGACTGGTCTGCTTACGCTTCCTCCCTCCTTAAAACTCCGGGTCACATGTTATGTACGACTTCTTTGTTCTTTGATTTCCCCTGCATCAGTTGATCGACATTCTCGGGTCTTGGTCTTAACGGAATTACATTCGACCTGTTCTGTTTGTAGTTTTCAATGTGCCCCCTGCTTACCCCGTATTTCATCGGGATAACACTTTTTAACCCGCTATAACGGTGGTCTTCAGTTTTACTGCTATTGAATGACCTACCCGGGTTCATGATCATAAAGAAATTCTCTTTATAGTGATCATGACCCGAGCAGGCGTCCCAAGTTAACATTGCTAACCACGGATCTGCAATCGTCACGAACAACCGATCTTGCTGACAAAGGGAATTCCCTTCATCAACAGTCTCGGAATCCAACAGAACCTCCAAATCATCCGTCATCTTCTTTTCCAGTGGATTGTTTTCTGAATCCTCATTTTTCTTTTTCCCCAGTTCCTCTTTGTCTCCTTTCACTGCACATCCTTGTTCTTCATCTTTTCTTTTTTCCGAATCTTCCTCTCCATCATGCGCTTCTTGATCTTGCTGACAAAGGGAATTCCCTTTATCAACAGTCTCTTTCACGCTTTCCACATCCTCCTTTTCGTCAGACCAGATATCTTCCAGTTGATCCTCTATTTCTACTGCAATCCGTGTGTTCTCCATTTTCTAGTTTATACGATATTAAGCAAATACGAGCGTCAATCAAATTAAGATGAAACCCGTATCAAAACCCCTTAAGTAGCCCTCACACAATTGCGTGAGGACCTCCCAGCAGGTGACATTTCGTGTTTTAAAGGGATGCACATTTGTTTAACTTCAATCCTCTCGGGTTCCGAGACTCATGAGGTTGCACAAGTAGCCTCAATATTTTGATTTCCTTCGTCAATCTCCGATATACCATGAGAACCATGATACCCAACACCGCAAGTGTTAAAACTATTGCGACCAGTAATGCCCATATCATAACATTTTCGTGCACATTGGACCTATTATTCCAGTCGTCCACCAGCAGGGGCAAAATACTTTCCAAAGTTTTATTATACTTTCTACAAATCCCCGTCAAAGTGTCTGTGACATTTGTTTCGTCTAGATACAAATCTAGCGAAGAAAGATTGAAGCTTAACGAAGAGGGATACATTGGGATCGACACCATGACTGCTCTGCCCGACTTTTCTATTTTTACACCAATCTCAGATGCAATGATGTCCCTCTGAGATCCTTTCTTTTGAAACGCGGCACTTGCCGTGCCCAACATTATCCATATCACCAAGTTGTAAATAACCATGTTCTAATTGATGTCAAGATTAGTATCACTGTAAGTAAAGTGTTGTTATGATTCAAACTGAATGTAAAAAAGAGGTGATCAATCTCCAGAATACGGTAGGAATCAACTCTCAGGCGCCTAGTAATACAATATGACTGTTAAAACGAAAAGGCAACAACAAGGTTTATCATTACAATATAATCTTCAAATCCCTGATACCGTGTTTATGTTGAAATATTTAAACAGTTCAGAAAATTTCATATTTGAAAATGGGACAGAATTTTGAAAATAACAGCTTTTCGTTTTGTTAAGCTTTCTGCTGTGGGCTTCCTCCGACCAAAATCAAACTTCCAGCACCTCAATCGTGTTTTTTGGTTGACTTACTAATTGGTTGCGGGTGAAAAAATCAGTCAAAACTGTAAAATTTCGGTCCTGGAAATTTCATCTTCAAAAACTGAAAATGGGACAGAGATTGGGACAATATGATTTTGCAATTTTATCCGGGATTTTGACTCCCAGTACCTCAATTTGGTTTCATACCATCATCAATCAACTTACTAATTGGTTTCTGGGCAAAAAGTTCGTCCAATCTGTCAAATTTGTGTTCAGAAAATTTCATATTTGAAAATGGGACAGGATTTTGAAAATACAACTTTTCGTTTTGTTAAGCTTTCTGCTGTGGGCTTCCTCCGACCGAAATCAAACTTCCAGCACCTCAATCGTAGGACAATATGATTTTGCAATTTTATTCTGGATTTTGACTCCCAGTACCTCATTTTGATTTCATAGTTCATACCATAGTTAGTTAACTCTATTGTATATACTGTTGAACTGACAGACTCTTTATTGTACAGGAGCGTTTGTTGTGGTAAGAGACAACTCTGATGGATTGTACAGAAGAGGAATGGTAACCAAATCTTCTGGAAGAAGTTTTGAGATATCCCTTAACGGGGATACCATTGTTCAGGTTATTAGATTAAATTAAATTAATTTTAAAGAGAATCATCTTTCCGTCCATATTTAGTAACTAGACCTACCTTTACTGATTACCTACCAAAATACTTTTATTAAGACCCATAATTCTTATTTTTCGTTTAGAGAAGACTCGGAGCCCTGCTGATTTTCCTGTTTCCAAGTTTTTAAATCTAACTTTTTCGAAAAAATGGTTAATCCTACCCAATATGAGAATTTAGATTTGTTAAATAACAATACACGTTTATCCAACAGGATCCCTCTCAAGTGTTCACAGACAACAAGAAGTCTCCAAACCAGTCCCTTCCCCCGGGTTCCCACTGCATCTGCCCTCTTGATGACCTCCAGAACTCCTTTGCCCCCGCTAAAGTATCCTCTGTTAATAAGGACGGGTCTCTAAAGGTGGTGTTTTATGATGACAGTGAGCTGTACTCGGTGGAGAAGGACTATGTTTATCCTGTTAGTGGCGAGTTTTATGTGAACTCGGTTAATTATATAAAGTCTAGATAGGACAGAGATGTGTCACTGTTATGTCTTGATAACACTGATGTTAAGATTTGATTTTTGTGAGCTAACTAATTTCTTTTCGAAGCATTAGCAGCTTGCAGTTTGAACTTTCATAAGTGATTCATACATAAAATTATACATTAAGAAAGAAGTTAACATTTATAATCGACGTACGATATATTTAGTTGATAATTATCAGATACTACTCATGTACAATTTGTATAAATAATAATGTAAGTATACAAAGTAAGAGAAGTGCCTGACCACATAAATACAGTTTAATTTGACAGATCAGGCCAGACAATACCAGTTACCTGTTATAATTATAGTATACAAACTTGTGTACTTATTATGTAGGTTAACGTGCGGTGAGTACTTGTAGTTGTCCAGCGCTCGTAACTAATAGTACTTTGATGTGTAGTGGTTGAAGATGTTAAGGTACGATATTTTATAAATTACGTTTGAGTGATCAACCGCGGAGACCATTATAATTTGCCATTCCCTTTGTAATAACAAAATTTAAAATAGCTTTTATTCTTACCACTTAGACTGCTGCTACTTAATGATCGTCTGTGATTATCGTTGGGGATTCTTGTAGCTTTGTAGGGTACGATTTGACGTAATCGAAACGTTAGTTGGGCGTTGGCTGTTATTGCGATCATGCTGCAATGTCATTTTACGTAATTTTGTTTCCGATTATATTTTGCTCATAAGATTGTTGATATGCTTATATATACTTTATGATATATGCTGTGATGTGTTATGGAGATGACCATGGTAAATGGCTGTTGTTTTATAATTTATTCTGTAAAATTTTGTTAAGCTGTGAATGCTCTACCAAATCCAATCTGCGATGTCGTAATTTGTCTTTGAAAATCCGCCATTAATTTTGTCTATGATAACGTTCAATCAAAATATTTGTTCGGCTGTGATTGAGGTTCGCATTCCAGATAAACGAAAGATCTATGGTAATAAACAAGTAAGCTATAAGATTGAGTTGTAATTATATAACCAGATATTCTCTTGGTCAACGGTGTAAGCAGGAGTTACTGTACTTGGTTACACTCCAATACCTATCCCCCCCCCCCCCCCCCCCCCCCCCCGATTAAAAGTTTAAAGTTTCTTGAGGTATGGCCCTGTGAATTGATTAATTGATTATTGTGCTCGGAAATCAAAACAAAGAATGGACCTTATATAAAGAAGGATAATCTTACCCACATCTCTCAGCTGCTTAGTTGAGTGACGCGAAACATTTTGCACACATCAATGCATGTCGTCTTCGATAATACTAAACTTAAATAGAAATCTTTCATTAAGATGGGAAGTGCCATAGTTCGGAAACCAAAGAGTGGTTATCATTACCGGAGCAAGCAAATGAATTCTATCTTTAAGCGTGCCTCTTCTTATTACCTGGACAGGATGTTTGTGCGAATTCTCGTTAGGGTAGAGTTTTAGGAAATGCTTTAGTACTACACGATTTTACACGATTTTTTTACACGATTAGAAAATTTATTTGTTATACTGGAATAATAACAATTTTAAAATATAAAATAAATCACTTCCCTCTGAAGTAGAACAGATGATGGGAGAGCTTCAAACATGGCGATGGAGGGAAGCGGTGTCTCACCGCTGGGAGGTAAATTAATACCCGTATCGCGATGGTAAAATTTTATGATATGAGATCTCAAGTAAAAAATAACACAAAAAAATAAAAAGTGAATGTTGTCAGTGTAGTGAAATCGGAGGCAACATTAATAAAGACGTATACACTTAAACCGTTACAATTATAGTCCCCATCTTGTTTTAAATACTCACAATAAAATACACACAAAAAACACACAAACGTCCCCAAAACATTAACTTCAATTTATATTTCCTTAGTTGAAATTAACTTATTTTATGAAATTGATACATTCGAGAATATATCGTGATTACATGGTAGCCATCCATGATCCCCATTTAGCCCTAGGTTTTGTATATGAAGCAAATGGTTCTTAAATCTCTTTTTAAATAGTGAAATTGACAAAATATGATACGGTACATCATGATCAAGGAGATAATTTAAAATTTTGGATGCATTAAAAACAAAATTACTATTCTTGGTCTTAGACATTGAGAATTTAGGATATAGAAGTCTACATGATCTACTTGACTTGCTAAACCGGCGATAAACATCAACAGGAATTTGTTCTTTAAGTAGCCTCATTGCAATACATCCAGTAAAGTATGTAAATAAGTTAAACAAGGTTAATAATTTCAAACGAAAGAACATTGGTTTCGTATGTTGAAACTTGTGATCAATCTTTATTGTTTTTCTACTCACAATACGAATACATTTTTTCTGCAACACAAACAGTTTTTGCAGCAAAGGATGGTGAAAAACAGCACCCCACAGTGGTATACAATACATTAAATATGGTTGAACAAGTGAAATATATACTTGTCTTAACACTTTGGCTGGTACTATAGAACTTATGGAGTAGAGTGATCCGCAAGATTTTGAAACTTGCGTTATTACATTGGTAATATGATCATTCCACGTTAAATTAGAATTAATAATGACTCCCAAAAATTTACACTTATTCACTTGATTAAACTGGTTGTTAAGTATTCCAACAAACTTTTGATTCTTAGGAACTTTACTACTTCCGAATTCCATAAAACAGCATTTTTCAAAATTAATGATTAACCTATTTTAAGCAGCAATAGTCGTGAATCTTTGATAATACCTCATTAGCATTTTTGTAAAGTAAATTTCGGTCTTTATTTTGAAGAAAAAGGTTTAAATCATCCGCAAAGAGGATAAATTTAGCTAACTCACATATATTTGCCAAATCATTGATAAAAATAATGAAGAGCAGGGGGCCTAACACTGACCCCTGTGGAATACCACAGGTTATTTTCAAGAGACAACTTTCGAATCCCCCATAGCTAACATACTGAGACCGATCTGACAAATAACTGTTTAATAATTTAATGACATTTCCTCGAATACCATAGTTCTCCAGCTTTTCTAACAAGATATTATGCCGCACTGTATCGAAAGCTTTGGAAAAATCTATAAATATACCTAATGTAAAATTTTTATTATCGATAGCATCATGAAGATTTTCTACTGCTGAAACAAGTGCATGAAAGGTTGAGTGCTTACTGCGGAAACCAAACTGATTATCACAGAAAAGATTGTGCTTATTAAAGAAATCAGATACGTTTTTATGTATTAACTTCTCGAAAATCTTAGCAAAAACAGGTAACATTGAAATAGGACGATAATTGCTTATATCAGAAATAGGTCCTTTATTCTTATACAAAGGAATTATTTTTGCTGCTTTTAATTCTTTCGGAAAATAACCTTCATTTGCACATTTATTAAAAATATCAGCCAGTAAAGGACTTAAAGTGGTAGCTAAAAGTTTGAGGACCCTAGGAGAATAATACGTACCCTTGCTATTATTAAGCTTACTTATAATATTATTTATTTCTTCAATTGAAAAATTAATATCCGATAGCTCGCTTATGTTCCTCTCAGGCATATATTTATTAAAATCTGTTAAATCCGCGTTAGCATTTTCACCATACGTTTTTAGTAAAAGATCATTAGCAATATTAACAAAATAATAATTAAAATTATGCGCTGCATCTTGATTAGGAAAAACTAGTAATCTGTTTGATCTCTTCCTACCTAGTAAACCGTTTATCAGTTTCCAAGTCTTTTTCAAATCATGTTGATTTGCTTTAAAACATTTATCAAAATACTCAAATTTTTCTTTACTTCTAATAGCATCAAACACTTGTTTGTAATCAACATATTTGTTCCAATTAACTCTAGTTTTATTCATAACCCAAATATCATAGAGTTTGTTTTTAGTGTCACTACTCTTGGCCACTCCTATTGAAATCCAATCAGAGCGAAGAAGAGAATTATTACCACTAGACTTCTGACTTTTAATAAACCATTTATCATACAGAGTTCTAATATTTCTGTCAAAAAAGGAATACATATTTTCGGCAGAATCACTTTCAAGATCAAATTTTAATAATTTAAAATCATTCAAAAACCCTTGTAATAAAAAGTCATTAATATTTACTTTATTTCTATTTCTACACTTTTCGTTAGGATCAAAATTATAGTCCAAAACTACGAATGTAGGAAGGTGACGACTTATATTACATCGTATAAGGCCGTTACAAATTATGTTAGATATATTGTTAGTAAGTATATGATCAATACATGTGCCATTTAAGCCTCCAAAATGAGTAGCACGTGAGATAATTGGTAAAAAGTTATTGCTAAACATGCAGTCTAAATATCTCCTAACAACACTAGAATTGGAGTTATATAGATTTACATTAAAGTCACCAAGAATATAGCTTTTGTGTCCCTTAAATCATAAATGTGTTCAATTTACTTAAGATACTGCCAAACATATCGATAAATGAATCAAAGTTTCCACTTGGTGATCTATAACAATTAACAACTAGTAACTTTTCAGATTTAACTGTTATTTCAACACAAAGTGATTCAAAATCAACGGTAGAATAACAAAGCTCAAATTTTTGATTAATATTATTAAATTTGTCACGCAAAAACGTTACCAAACCAGAACCTTTGTGTTTAAGCTTTCCATCCTCCTTCAATAATCGATTAAGTACAAATTTATTATAACCCGGTATGTAAATGTTAGGATGGCTACCGGACAACTGAACCCAATTTGGACTTTTCCTAGACAGGGTAGCTTGGGAAAATAATTTTAAACCCAATCAGTCTACCTAATTAACTTTGAAACGACAACTGAACGCAATCGTCACTAGAAATAACTAACAGATAAAAAGGTTTTCAAATACCGCTCTAGTTTAGCTGCTGCCTGGTTTCTAGTGCTATAATTTCGGAGTCAAAACAGAGACAATATTTCATTAGCTTTCCGCTTCAATTCTGCTCTGAACTCTGCTTTCACAGCTACTAAGTTGTCAGGTTCGTGGGAATGAATAACTGGCATCTCCAGGTAGAGGTAGTAGGGGTATCTCGATCCTTTCTCCGGGTGTAGAGGAAACCGTCTGTGTCCAGAAGTATTTGAGCTCCTTTTTGTCCGCTGATGTACTTGCTGAAGACAATCATGATTCGATACTATGACCACCATCTCTCTTCCGTATGTATTGATCCGATCTGTATAACAAGCGTACTGATAGATGACAAGGTCTCAGGTGCCTTTCGATCGCGAGATCTGATCTAACAAGGCAACAAGCTTAGGTGTTCACGAAGCGTGCCGAAAAGGATACGATCCACTGCTCCTCAAGCATCGAGATCCGACCCAAGGCTCGAGATCTGAACCATGGCAGGCCCTCCCAAAGCATCAGAAGACACGAGATCTGAGCCAAGTAACCTGAGCCAAGTAACCAGCGTGCTAATGGTGTTATGGTGCGTTTCATCAGCTTTGAAAGATATGAAACAGTAGAACTTTAAGAACGCCTACCAAGATACGTATTTACAAGGCTGCTGTTAGTACTATTCTGTTATATGGAGCTGAAGTCTGGAACACAACAAAGAAGCAGATGGTGTCGATAACATCAGCAGAGACGCAGTAAAACAGTTAGCTCTAAAACGAGTTGAATGGAGGAACATGCTACACCGTAGAAGAGATGTGTGTGATGCAGGCCACTCCAACGACTAGGAGGAGACCTCTTCAAGTCTTCATGTAGCATGTATGTATTAATATTTTACCGGGGTAAGCACAGGGCTCCAATGCTCTAAATTACAGTGGTCATGACCTATCCTATAGTGATAATGACCACAGTCTCCTGCGAAGAAGGAGAACCTGAAAATATCCGATCGTTGGGTTCAGTTGTCGTATTTCCAATTTAGGTGCAGTTGTGA